TATTCCAATTTCCAGTTGAACAATTTTTGTGTTAATCTTGCTTAAATTGATCAGTTCAGACAAGAAATTAGACGTTTTGGCCAGTGGACTTTTCTGCCATTTTTTTTTAACCCGTTAAGCGTGACGTTTTTTAAAACGTTAACTACCCCCTATTGTGTAATTAATTTGATGAAGTGACGAAGAACTATGTACTATGTTCTAAGAATAGGTTGGGGAAAATACCTCCAAGGCGTTATATTACGCTCTACACACAGTGAGTGGCAATTGTCCAGCACGTAATATAACGTCCTACACATGCTGCGAAGGTGGGGGAATTCCCAAGGGACAAACTATGTTCTAAGAATAGGTTGGGGAAAATACCTCCAATGCGCTGTATTACGCCCTACACACAGTGAGTGGCAGTTGTCCAGGACGTTATATAACGACCTACGCACTTAACAGGTTAAGAAAGTGGACGTTTCAGCCAGATTTATTTGTTTGTTTTCTAGTACGGATTTTTTTCTTTCTGCGACTTCTGGCATATTCTGCTTAATATACTGCATTCCTTCTTCAACATCCCAAAGTGGAAAAATGAATCAAGTGGATCTAGATGTCCACAAAAAAGTCTGAACTCATTTTTGGGGAATATTTTTGCATGTCTTAGTGACTGGATGATGTGTCTCCAAGTTGATTGAGCAAGGTGATAAAAAACATTACTGAATCTGTACTTGTGGCCCATACACTGCATGAAGAGTAAGATCTACAGAGTGTTCAAAGTTGATGTGTCACAACCATGCTTCTCCAAAAAACAAAACATTAATTCATATGTTGTCTGAATCATTCTTTGTAAAAGTATGTACACTAATAGAACAAAAACTCCTGAAACACGACCCTGGATGACATACAACTGCATAAAAATACTGAGTGCCATTGTGTAGTTACTGTCCATACCATACTCCCTTTAAAGTAGCTAAGTCTCTAACTCAATATTATCCATTGAAAACACGAATTATTTGTCAATTTAAATCAACATTGATGTTGTGATCTTACCGGGAAAAGATGGGCTTTTGATATCCAATATTTAAGGCAAAATAAACATTTTACCATTGGTACATGAATCACGTACCACAATGCGTTTCAGCGCCATTTGTAATGAGGGACTAGAAGAACGAGGCTAAAAACTTACATTACTTGTAAAATTGGCTGAAACGTCCTGGGCCGAAATGTGCACTGGCCGAAACGGTCGTCTGCCCATTCCTGCATACAAACTTATAAATATACCGAGTCAATTTTTTTTATAAATATACAAAAATACCAACGGTAGATTAATTATGATTCAGAGTAGCACATGGAATTTTTCACAGAATTTATACCCGTCATCCAAATCTGGTAAAATCTATACATGCTACTGATATTTTCTGTGTTTTTTTAGATTGCCAGAAAAAGAAAGAATCAAGAGTATAACAACATCAACATAGTCTTCTGTGAAGCTCCTGCTTCTCAGTGAGACATTTTTTTTATAGACATTAATTGTATCTTTAATGGTACCTAGCCAGTATCATAATAGCATGAATGTATTCAAATGGACTGATTGCATATACTGGTTTTGCAACCAGAGGAGCATGGAGTAGTTGTGGCAGGGAGTAGGGGGGATACAAAGTTTCATTCAAAGCCATCCATATTCAAACTCTGTGAGTCAATTTACCCTAATCCTTGTCAAGCTTGAGCTAACAGACCTTATGATTTAAAGTAAATTCATTATGCCACTAAAACATCAAACAATCGAGCAACCGATAGTGGAACCAATAAAAATTCACAGAATTTTGTGAAATATATAACACCTGATATCATCCCCTGATTTTGAAGACATTAAAAATTAAACTTACTTTTATCTCTGGTTGTGTTTTTGATAATCTATCTCTAACTATTACCAGACGGTCAGGCATCACAATAGTCTTACTGGTATACATACTTTAAATTATCAACTATTAATTTCAATGAAATTAATACCATTTATGAAGGAAAAAAAAATCCTGGTACACATTAAATCAACATAAATTTATTTCTGTGTTCAGGTCAATTTCTGAACAAATTTCTTGTCACAATACACCGCCAATTGATTTCCAAAAATTTGTTTTTGTTCATACCATTTATTATAAGAAAAGAATCCTGGTACACATTAAATCAACATATAATCCATTTCTGTGTTTTGGTCAAATTATTCTTGTCACAAGAAACCACTAATCAAATCTTAATAACATGCATGTATAACATGTCTCTCAATTTTCCTCAAAGCACAGATTTTTATTTTATCACTTTAAAAACATTGATGAAATCACTAAACCCAAAAATATCTAATTTCAGATAAAGACCAAAAATACTCCATTCATAATTTCCATCAAATTTACAGATAACACAGAAAACAATCGATTTTCTTTTTTATCTTGTTGAATGAAATGACGTTAATCACTGTTAATAAATCTAATCCTGAATATCTGCATATGGCGCTGTCTAGATTTATACACACATAATTACATTTTTTTATGATTCGATCAGGCAATGGTATTATCAACTTAATAACGTAAAATTATAATAATGATCAGCCAGGACACTTTCATTTTCTATGGGTGTCTATTTCTCATTGAAGATTTTCTTTTATAAATGAGGGTGTAATGGTGTCTATAGGTTATTGAGATAGAGAGACTCTTTAATCTATAGACAATGATAATATTTAATATTGGACACGTCTGTTCTTCATAACCTCTTAAAAATCTCTTAAGTTGCTTGTCTCAGATTGACAACTCTTGCCTTGAAAACAACTTGAATATTTCTAAGGCATGAAAGATAAGGGATTTATTTATAATGTAATGAAGATTATTAAACAGATTATATTCAGCCAGAGTATAATAATACTATTTGCTTATTTTAATTCACTATTTCTTCTTTTAAAATGCTAGGTTTTTGATATTTATACAAAGTACTGTACATGTACCCACTGTCTCGACCATAAAAATAAACACCATTTTACTGCTATTAAAATACTCATCAGTTGTATTCAACAAAGCTTGTACTTCTATATTCACTTTCCACCAAACATACATAAATTAAAAGTTCATTCAACTTATTTCTATTTTGGGTAAAATATCCTTAGTACAAAATTAGATATGCTTATTTTTTAAATCCACAATATTTTTCGAAGTAATCAAGGGCCATAACTCTGACAGTAATTATCAGAAATCCTTAATAGATGACCTTAAATATGATATATAACTTTAAAATGAATCGGATGATAACTTTGGTCTCTGGAGCATCTATAAGATTTTTTTTCAAAGTGATTAATGAACATAAGTCTGGAAGTAAATACTGGAAATCTTTGAAAATCAATAGGCTTCTTCGTAGCATTATCTTAAACACTGTGTATAAAGTCAGTTGGTTACCAACTTTAGCCTCTAGCGCATCCACAAGATTTTTCCAAGTGATCAAGGGCCATTACTCTGGTAGTAATTATCATAAATCATTGAAAAGCAATAGACTTCTTCATCTCGTGGCCTTAAACACTGTGCATAAATCTAAAGTCAATCAGATTTTAACTTTAGCCGCTAGAGAATCCACAAGCAATTGTGGGCGTCGGACAGCTGGACCTACTGACGACAATATACGACCACATTTAAATGTGGGCATATAAAAAGGAAAAAATGACCCACAACGGTGGCATTAAACTAGCAGATATATACAGACATGAATTTTATAAAGAGGCAGGCAAATAAAATTATGGAGGTGTACTTAGGGAGGCAAGGTGGGAGTGATACCATGAGAAGAGGACTGCGAAAGGGTATTCAGTGGAAGATCTGCCACTGAGTGTGTGCCCAGGTAAAATCATGTGATCTCCACAAGTAATGTGTTTTACTAGACATATTTTAGAAGTATCTAAATCCCCTTTAATTTAAAACATTTCGTGAACTCCTTCCCAGATTTCTTTAGTTTTGGATATCCAGCATGTTGCTGCAGTATTTCATTCAACTGTACACTTGGGGGTAAGATACTTATTATGCCCCATTAACATATAGAGAGGTTGTTATAGCTACATATCAATATTGACATACAGTGTTTGTCATTAGATGTTAAGTGTTTGTTATTTGTAGATTATTGTGTTATAATTACTGTTTGTTTTATCATGGCTAGATATATATTTATTGGCTCATCTTCACCAAGTCAAGTGTGAAAAGTTCAACAAGCTGAGGCTTTTGATTGGATGCACCTGACAAGCAGTCGGGGGGGGGCAAAACATTTTTTCAGGGGGGCAGTGCCCTCCCTTGCCACGGGCCTGCTGACAAGTGGACACTCACATTGGAAAAGAAGAGAATGGAGTTTAATGTCATATCAATACAATACTTCAATCATATGGAACTTTGCATACAGCTAAATTTTGTTTCTATGGCCACATGTGCAATGCTATAGAGAAGAATTCTGTCCAGACATCCATGTTTCCACCTACTCTTCATCAAATACCAACTGTCAGTGGTTCTTTTATATGCATACCAACTGTCAGTGGTTCTTTTACATGCATACCAACTGTCAGTGGTTCTTTTACATGCATACCAACAGCATTTACACATGATCATCCAAATGCCTAGGCAATACTTTAGTTGTCAGCCCCACAGGCAGTACATGTACATATGACAAGTAGAAACCAGGCTCAGATTCTTCTTGCCCCAACCAAACCCAGACCAAAAGGGGCAACCCTTCTCCTTTTCATGTACAAGCCTGGAATTGTAATCATGGCCATTTTAAGACTAATAAAAAGTAACTTTCTTTTCAGTGGTTACGTGTGCAATGTTGGGGGGGGGGGGAATTTTCACAGACATTCTGATACTTTTGTACACCCAGCCTTTATGATTTAGAATGTGTAAATAGTATCTGGTGTTCCAGAAAGTTTAAGTATGCCCTGCCTGATGTACATAGTTTAGGATGAATCTTTGGATTTTTTGAGGGAATCAAAGACAAAATAATAAATAACTCACCCTTGTGTTTTCCCAACAATTAGTAGGATGATGTACAGATGGCAATGTTGTTTCTGCTAAAGAATCTACATCATCTGCATCTAACACGATTGGAATACATGTACTGTTTCTACTGAATAATGACGATTCCCTTCCATTATTTCTTTTAGAAGAATCAAGTCCCAGGTAAATTAAGTCTACATCATCACTCTCATTCTCTAAATCATCTAGTTCTTGAACAAATTGTTGTAGTTTTTCTTCTGTAGCAGAACCAAATTTAGTTTTAAATTCAATTCCATTATTTCTTGTTTCAGAGTCATCACCAAAGCTTTGGTTGGCAAAGCTAACATTTAAAATCGAATTTTCGAAGCAATTTTCATTCAGTTCTATCTCTCCATTCACCAAAACTGTTGGACTACTGACTGGAGGTACTTTTCTTGGAACTTTTTTTCGTTGATAGCGATTCCTAAACACTTTGAATTGTTGTTGTCTGGGTTCTGGAGCTGAATGACATCCTCTTTTGTGGTTCCCTGATAATTTGTTGATCTCCATTTTCAGAATTTTGAAAAGACTGTTAGATAAATGTGTAGTCACGTTGCAGAATTAAAACTTTATGAATACATTTTAATTTTTTTCCTGACATACATATATAACTGACTCGGTCGTGCTGTTCTGTATTAAGTTATATTTGATCTAAGATGATATGAATTCGTCTACTAATGGAAATATCATTATATTCCCTTCACGATTTTTCAAGGATTATTATGTTCTATTAACATGAACACAAAAGAAGTTTATATTTCTCAGTCCATCAATATGTAATTATGAATAGATTTGTGTAAGACTTATCCTTTGGTTTGAATAAAAGGCCTACTATATGATAAGTTGTAGGATATTCTAGATCTATAAGTTGGGGCTTGAAGATTACTGAACCTGAAACATATTATTATATTAAAGTTATAAGAATGGAAGGATTATTGTGGTAAATAATTTAAAATAAACAGCTTATTGTAATATATGAGCTCCTAAAGAAAATCAAAAAAAAAAGAAGAAAAATCTGTGCATACTTTTGTTTGGAAATTGTTATTATTTGGTATAAAAATACCTATCTATATCAAAAACACATTAGAAATTATCAACCCATATCTAATAACATATTTCGAAAATAGAAAATAGAAAATATCCATTATTGATAAGATCAGAGTTCAAAATGATTGTCGTTTTTTTTTTTTTTTTTAATTGACTGCATATCAAAACACATTAAACGTGGATATAATATATCAAACAAAAATATATTAGTTTGGCAATATAGAGCAAATATAAAAAAAACCTGGTCATCTTCCAATATTTAATTTCCACAAATATCATTTAACCATGATCCACACCTTTTAAAAGAAAATAATAATAAAAAATAAGTAAATGTTTAAAGGTTTTAATTTTTTTATTTACATTTTCATTGAATAATGAATTTCCCTGTGGCCTGTACGGTTGTCAATGTCTCTGGGTGTAATTCAACATATTATTTGAAGTGGCGTTTTGGGCATTTTCGATATTGCAAAATCTGAGAAAGATTTGTCAACCCAAGCAATGTGGTATGAGTAAGTTCAACAGCGTCCCATGCAGTAATTGCCTCAGTCCAGAAGTGATTGGATTTTCTATAATTAACATGGCCTAGTATGCTTTTTGTTTTCTTCAAAAATATGATCTTTTAAAATTTATTTTCTTGTAGATACTGCAGGTGAGTAGTAAGTTATGTAAATGTCAAACAGATTGAATGCATAATAAGCAATCATTATTGTTTCTTGTGTTAATAAATATGTGACTTTTATATTGATAAGATATACATCTAAGTCATACTTATAGTCTTACTCAAGCGTAAAATTAATTCTTTACATAGTTATCATTACGAGCCTTACGGCCGATTTTTATCTCTTCAAAGTCAAGTTTGGACACGACTCAAAAAATCACTTCAATTTGTAAACAAAACCACGTGGTAAAAAAACTTATTTATAGTAACCATCATTTGATTGGATAGATTTTATCCTATCAAATGCAAAATATTATTTTGCCCGAACCACTTATTATATAACGGAAGTAGCGTGTTACAAAAGTAATTTTGTATTTATTTGCTATTTATTTTAAAGAAATTCGCCAGTTAAATTAGAACTAACCATGCCACGAAGAGGAAGAGCCAGTTCCCCTATGTCTAGGTAAACTAAGGGCAAAACTTAATCCACATATAAGTTGGAAATTAATTTGAGACAGTTGAATTTCAGGCGGTAGAAGTCGTTCTGGACAAGACAAGGTCAAAACTTCCAGAAAAGATTTTATTTCGTCATTTATTCGTACTTCGTAACATCCAAGGGCTTAACTGCACTAGACGTAGATCGAAAATGAAAATATAGCTCATCATAGCTCTTAAAATAAAACTGATTATGTTCAACAACGATTACATTTCTGTCCGAGACAGAAACCAGAAATGTATCGTTACGTTATGTATTAATTTATACTGAGTAGTGAGTACGTACTCAAGTCAAGTGTAGATAAATAAGAAGATAAAGAAGACTACTTTTACTCATTAAGGTACAGGATCCGACAATCGATTGATCCAACAACACATGACGATTCAATCAACTCAATAGATTTTAAAAAACGGACGACTTGATAGTAACGTCATCTGTCGAATCAATCAACTCAGTGGATTCTCAATTGAAACGCACGATCGATACGATCGACAATGATGGAACGTCATCTGTCGAATCAATCAACTCAGTGGATTTTCAATTGAAACGCACGATCGAACGTCATCTGTCGAATCAATCAACTCAGTGGATTTTCAATTGAAACGCAATTGAAAGTGTCGATTGAATCGATTGTCGGATACTGTACCTGTGTCCTTTTACTTTAGGTGACCTTACATTTTTTTTACTTACCAAAAACTGGACTACCATGTACCAAGTTTTTTTTATGAAAATGTGGACATATTTGGCCATCGCTCCTGTCCGTCCGGATGGGTTTGATTTTGGCACATATTGGATCATAACTTCCTGTAGAATTCTTAAGTCTTATAGAGTTCATGCATAATGATAATGAGCTCCAATTAAATATTTTTATTACGTTAGTTTTAAACTTTTTTATTAATTAGAACTCTGCGTTCACATACATGTATAACACCTTCGCAGTGGCACAGTGAGTAAAGCGGCATTGCTCAGTATCCTATCTCTAGTGGTCCCTTGATCCAGATGATAGCCAAGAAAGTTTCTAATGATTTTCCGGCATGGCTTCCCTCTTGTCAGTGGTGCAGGTGGAGGGCCTGCAAGGATGGGACGAAAAACAGGGGTCCAATATACATGTTGGCATGCATGTAAAAAAACTCTTGACAGATGGAATTTGATATAAAAGTAGGTCCTAGTGCTGCTACCCAGCCAAAAATTTTATCATATCACACTGAATGGCTTATACCAGTGAGTCTCAGCACAGTTGGAGAAGAAAAGAAGTACAGACACAGGTCACAGGAGAGATAACTCACAAAATACCTTGTGACCCAATGACGATCCTTGCCAATTTTAAAATAAACTACCAAGAACTCTGATCTGTATGGTGTTCCACACTGGTAACAATATGCATCCAGATTTTAGCATACATGTACTCATATAAATCAGTAATACCTTGTTTTCATAGTTAAAACATGTATTGAAGTGTACTTTACTATACTTACTTTTAGGCCATCTCCTAGTCGAAATCTACCAGCTCGACCACCACCATCTGCTCCTGCCCCAATACAAACACAGCCAAGACAGCCTGGTTTAATGGCACAGATGGCTACAACTGCTGCTGGTGTTGCTGTAGGATCAGCTGTGGTTAGTATGTTATGAAAAACCTCTTTGATTCAGCTAAAAATAGTCGGATGTCAATTATTACATTTTTATTTCAAGACATTATTGTCAAGTTGAAGTCTGTTTGTCTGCTTGATTTAGTTTATCCTTAAAGGGGAAGCCTAAAGATTATCAACAGGTTTCCATAAATTTAGAAATAATCAGCCCTGTATAACAAGAGCAACATTGGTTTAATCTGTGGACCTAAAATTTTAAATGTAGACAGGTACATATATTGTCTTGCTGGATTGAATGAAACATGTGATACATGACCTCCATTTTAATTTCTAATTTACAGTTAGAAGTCTGTTGACATAAATTAGTAAAATATAAGGAAGAGTATTGTATGCAGAAGAAAATCTGCTTTAATCATTAGACTTAAAGACTGAACCTTGTATTTGTTTTTAAAGGGTCACACTATTGGACATGCTATGACAGGTGGTATGGGCGGTGGAGGAGGAAACCAGGAAGCCCAACAAGCACCTGCCCAGCAACAACAACAACAACAAAATGAACAGCGCAATCCCTGTCAGATGGAATTTCAAAGCTTTGTGGATTGTGCCCAAAATAATCATGATATAACATTATGCCAGGGATTTAGCCATGCTCTTAAAGATTGCAAACTACAATATGGTAAGAGTTTAATACTAGCCAGAAATACTAGTTTTTGTTACTTTCTTGCACATAGCCAAGATATGTCTGTCATATCATTTCCAATAATTTTTATGTTTAACCAAGTCATATTCTTTTTTATCGCTCTGTCATCAGTAGAAAAAAAAACAAATACAGTACCTAAACTCTTGACTTATTCTACATCTTGTATAAAAGAAAATACATGTGTATCGGTAATCAATCTACACCTATTAGGCAAAAGCTGAAAGGAAGTCCTATTGTTAGAAATTCATACTTATCATGATGCATACAATTATATTTTTAACAAGAAAATAATGTAATGAATTTGGGTACATCCATCTGCCCCTCACGTTATTTGGGATACAATAACTGCTTCTAATAGGCGTGAATATCTTGACCAGAGTTCGGTGATGAGCCTTTTCTGCTGACGCTAAGCATCTGTTGTCACAGCTTGGGAACAAAATAACCCTGCTTTCTAATTGGTTAGAATTTTCAAAACTAGGTGTAGATGAATTTCTTTTAACATATTTAAAATAACTCTACTCACCTATATGTAATTATCGAAAGTTGAAGCAAGGGTACACTTTAGATAAAGGTATATGGGAACAGCTTCCACTGAACACAACAGACGGTAATGGAAAGCTAGTAATCAAATTTAAAACATCTATATCTCGGCAGATCGATCTTGTATTTAGCATACAATCTAATCTAAACAAAGTGATAATGCTTCTTTGATGATTTTAATAAACTGGACACAATAACTTACAGTAGAAAGTATATTTTTCAGGACTATGAGAGGGTAATGGTAAATGAAATGACCGTAAAAATGGAACAGAATTATACAAGGATATACTGAATGAATGTTGAAATGTTATTTATTAATTATATCTAGAAGTTATATACAATTTTAACTAGATGTTTGAGATTTCAATATTTTATAAAGTGATGTTTTGCTTTGTACAAATTAGTCTTGATTAATATACAATAAAATTGTTGTTTGTTATAGAACTCGTACATATATTAGGGTTTTTCTAAAACAATAACTTTTTTGATTGTCTAATTTCTGGTAATACTTGTATGTCGTGTACCTGTTCATAGTAATATTTTGTAAATAAAACAATCAGCTACCACCTTATCAGTAGATATTATCTCCGGTAAAAAAAAATATGGTTGTGTCTTAAATTTCAGGCCGTTAACAATTTTCAAAACTTTATATTATAACTAGAAAGAGAAAAAAAAAGGTACCAGTGTTCCATCCACAATTTAGTAATAAGTTTTTGAATTCTTGTTTCTCCACAATATGTAGCTCAATCAAACATGAATAAATTATGTTCTTTTAATAGATTGGAGATACTGAAAATTGTCTTGTTTTATTCAAATTGATGAAGATTATATTCTGATTAGATATCCAAATATGAGACACATCACCAATGACAATGTTTTTTATATACAGCAGTCATTCAGATTTTGTGGTCCTTTATGATATTCATGTAAAATTAAATTTCTCTTGGGGGAAACACAGTAAGATCGATCATCTACGAAGAAAAAGATTTAGTCAAGATTATCATGCATTAACCTCTGTCAGCCGGCGAACATGTATCAATATCAAAAGTAGCACTACGGGGCTGAGGCAATACTGTTAATCTTAATAATCTGAAACTCGCATGTGTAAACGGAAAATTAACACAGAGAGAGATGGAGTTTAACGTCCACATGACACAAAGTAGGTTACTTTGGGACTAACATGGTTCAATTTTACTTCAATAATTCGCTTGCACATAGGGGTCTTTAGCAGTGGGAGGAAACCGGAGGACCCGAAGAAAACCCACAAGGTTGGAGAAAATTTAATAGGCACAAGAAGGCATATTTTGAAGAATTTATTACATAATGTACATTATTCAGTTAAAATTTGTTTAAAACAAAATAAATAAAGGACATGAGCAATTATACCATACAAGATCGGTTGCTAGGCAATAAAACATTTGCCCACAGTAGCCAAGTCGTCAGTGGAGTCAACAAGGGTTGTCGTATATCAGAAATTGTTGAGAATCAATAGGCTTCTTCGTTTCGACTTTACACACTGTGTATAAATTTAAAGCCAATCCAATATTAACTTAAGCCTCTAGGGCGTCTACAATTGCTTGTGGCAATATATGACCACATATGCGTATAATAAAATGAACTTACATAAAGGTAACTTAATGTACAGAGTTTAAGATAATACAATTTAAAGTACATTTTGGTCTATGACGGCCTTTTTATACTCTTTTACATTTAAGTAAATAATGACAGTTGTCCTTACATTAAAATAGTAATTTTTTTTAGTTATTTAACCTCGCCTTAAAAAGAAAAGTATTAAAAATAAAAATACTGATGTATTTAATTAAAAACAGATGTGGTCGAGATGTAAATTTTATAAAAATATAATAATATCAACAACAATCTAAATCTAACAACTACACACACTGTAATCCGGGTATCATATAATCTTGTGTATTTAGCACTAATTTCTTTCACATTCATTCAATATCAAATCTTTGATTAAAAACTCAAAAAGATCGTTTAAAGTCGTCAAAAACTTGTACTGGTGTCCCGTGTAAATCTGACCATTCAATTTTGATAATGAGTGTCCAATTTTCAAGTGTTTAATTTCTCGATCACTGTTAAAAAACCCAACCCAATTGATTATTGATGTATAACGGTTAATTTTTGAACAGTGGTCAGGAAATTCAACACTTGTAAATTGGATACTCATTATCAAAATTAATCAGTCCGCTTTAAACTGGACACACATTCAAATTAGATGATTTGGTGTGATGTTAAATAAATTCTTAAACAAAGATTTGATATTAAACGAATGTGAAAGAAATGAGTGCTAAATACACAAGATTAAATAATATCCAGGTTAGTGAAAAAAACTACAATCTTTTTTTTAATTTTGTTTTAAGAAAATTTGTCAATACATGCTAATTTCATTAGTGAATATAAAAAAAGATTTATATATACAATTATATACATTGGATAAAGTCTTGTCAAACAGATTATTCTGTACATTATGAATAAGCAATGTGAAATGTATTGGAATACACATTTAATGGGATGGGAGAATGATATTCTTCATGAAATAATAACTATCACCGACCATTATCCAATTCATTTTAGGGACATTCTATATTACAGAAATAAATGTGCTCAAGTTTCAAGGCCCTTGAACTGGGCAATAAATATGTTAATTTAAAGCTGGCCAAATGATAAAATAGATACATGTATTATTGCTAGCAATATGAAATGCTTTGAAATTACTTATGAATAAAAGTAAAAAAAATTTTACTCGTTCAGTCTTTTTAAATACTGATCAACTATCAATGTTTGAATAAAAAAACATACATGTGATTAATAATATCAGTAGCTATTGCTTATAATTACAAAACATTCAAAATTGATCTTTTGCAATATGATAAAATTATGAATATATACAATGCCATTTATGATTAAAAACAGATCTATGTTGTCACCATATTGCTCTGAAAAAGAAAAAGATTTTTACAGATAACCCAAACAACATAACTCTGATCAGGATCTTTTAAATTATATCTTTACAGATTAAAACTAATAGAGACCAATATCTTTGACAACAATTAGGTCATACAATATGCAATAAAACAAATTACTGAACATATCTCAATTCTAATAGGAAATGACATTTTTTTACATGAAAATTGCACTACAGTATGAAAATAATTTTCATGAGGCCAACCAAATTTTCAAAATATTAATCATATCTAAATTGTTCTGCTTCTATGCATCTCAATTATTTAAAAGTGTATATCTGTTTGCTTTATATGGAAATTCTCAATATTATTTTACCAAATGGGTTTAAATAATAAATGAAGCCTAGGCCTATTACCAATTGATGATTTTAACAGATTAACTTAAATATGCTATCGTAAAGTACATTCATTGCTATTTATTGTTGTAATTTACGATTTAAGAGGAGTCCAAATAGTAATGTCATTATAGCATGTTCAATAAAATGAAACTAGATTGACGTTGTGGTCATGCAATCTTTCAGATTGCCAAAATAGAGAGAGAGAAATGGGTTTAATGCCCACTCAATGCAAACTAGATCATTTCGAGATTAACATATGGTTTTCAAACCACAATTAAGAATCATGTGTCAACAAAATATTCAAATTCATAGTAATGAAAGATAGGTAGGGATCTTTAGTAGTTGGAGGACCTGGAGAAAACCAACTGGGTCGTACAGGCGACCCTACTCCTTGTCACATACAACCGAGGAATCGACAGCCTATGATACAGCGCGCATGTGCTAACCATTCGGCCATCCAACCCATTTGTTAAAATTGATGTTCCTGAGTTAAAACTCCTGAAAGTTTGTTTTGATTAGGCTATTACAATAAATAAATATATGTACATATACCAACTTACATGTAGTAAATTTTTGATGTATTTATCTGTTAATGTAGGTATATTCTTCAGCCCATCAACCTGCAGTGTAAAGTCATAATCAATACTACTATTAAAGAAATGAAACAGGGTTTAACGTCCTACACACACACGGACTGGACTAATTAAGATGGATATACAGTGGGCTATGAGGGAAATTTTCACTACTCTTATATCAAATTCCAAATGCCAAGGGATCTTTTATGTGCACACCAATGTTTACATGGGTCCTTGGATTTTCATCCCATCCTAACAACTATGTTTTCCCTTGCTAGGCCCTCTGTCATGCACCACTGACACAGAGAGAAACCACATGTAAGAGAAAAAAAATAAGCCAATGAACAAATAATTTGACGGGAATTATTGGAAATCTTCAGCCTCTAGAGAATCCATAAGCACCTGTGGAGAGAGAGAGAGAGAGAGAGAGAGAAATGGGGTTTAACATCCACTTGACACAATCTAGGTTATTTCAGGATTAACATATGGTTCAATTTTATTTCAATAATTTGCTGGCGCGTAAGGATCTTTAATGGTGGGAGGAAGCAGAGAAAACCTACAAGATTTTGTCATGTACTGCAACTGTGGACAGACAGACAGGGTTGACAACAATAGATGACCCCAGTTCAATGTTGGTGTATAAACATGAACTTTCTTGATAAAACTGACAAATATCTCATTAATAACTTTAGTAAATATTTGAAGCTATATATCTGCCTAAATAAAAGATGATTATATGATTGCCATGGCAACCAGCATTATTTGATATGAAAGCAGATCTCTGTTAGAATTTGATTATAAGAATATCACTTGAATCAAATTTCAAATATTTAAATGAAACCATGTATGTTGGGAGGTTAAGCTATCATCATGTTTAATTTACTTTGTTTCAATTTGTACTGTCATTAAAAAAAATAGGTTGCCAGGCAACGAAACATACGCCCACAGCAGCTATATCGTCCGGGCAGTCAACACGAGTTGTCGCATATTTTTACTTTTTTCGGTAATGAAACATTTATAATACATTAAAATCTGATTAAGAGTAACACCTCATTAAGTAATTATCAGAAAACCATTAGAATTTGTTTGGTTTTTATAAAGTTCGGCCCCATGCTAACGTTTAGTATACGAAACTTTTAACATCATGGATTTAGCTGTTCAAGTCATAAAGATTCGTTGAAAATCAATATACTTGTTCGTCTCAAGACCGTAAACTCTGTGTATCAATCTGAAGTCAATCGGATGATAACTTTAGCCTCTAGAGCGTCACAAGATTTTTTAAAGTGATCAAGGGCCATAACTTTGGCAGTAATTATCGGAACTCGTTGAAAATCAATAGGCTTCTTCGTCTCATGGTCTTAAACACTGTAACTGTATATAAATTTAAAGTCAGTCGGATATTAACTTTAGCCTGTAGAGCGTCCACAAGCAGTTGTGGAAGCCGGACGGACGGGGGCGACGACAATATACGACCACATTTCAATATGGGCGTATAAAAACGTTTTATCCGACTCCTACTCCTAGAAACCAATGCAGACAATATACAACCACACTCCAATGTTAAAATAGTTTCAAAAATACACAACCCCAAATACAAATAATTTTGATTTTGATTAGCAAATTGAAACACCACCTACCAAAACTCCATTTACTAGAAGTAAATGTTGTTCCTTTAAATTATTAATTTCATATCATGTGTATATTCCACTGTATCGGGTTTCTTATTATGCATATAACATACATTAACAGTAGTTTATACTTACACTCTCAAATTCTCCATGAAGCTGCCTCCATTCAAATATAAGTCGAGCTCGTTTATTACCGACAGTGTGTAATTGCTGTAAGTCTTTAATGGATGACGTGTTGAGAATGTTCAAAAAATCAGTATCTAGTAAGAAGAATAAAACAATTGCTAGTAACAATAGTGAACAATCTGGGTATGTATATCTAGTTAGCTTATAATAAGGAATTTTTAATATTGATTGGGATAGAGAGAGAGTGAGAGACAGAGAGTTTATCCTGCACTAAATTATTTCGGGACTAACATATGGTTTAATATGATTTCTATGTGAAATAAAAACCATAGCTTGCAAGGTAAGGTAACATATTCCCACCAACAGCTTTATTGTCCACACTGATATACTGAAATTAAAAACTTGACACTCAGGATTTTGGGGACTAGATTTTTAATATTTGGTTTAAGGCAACTATTTTAGAGTTATGTTGTGCACAGACGACCTTGACATCAACAGAAAGCAAGAATACGTCTCGCCGAAAGTCCTTGACATTGATAACGTTCGTGATGTCACAGTACCCCCCCAAAATGAAATTCAGAGACTTGGAGAACAATCGGAATAAAGTGTTTAGTAACGGTTGTGGCCTCCTCTAGCGTCTCGTACTGCCACACAACGTCTTCTCATGGATCTCAGAACATTAGTAAACACTACCCGAGGAAGACGTCGCCACTGCTCAGCAAGAGCATGTTGAAGGTCCTGCAACGTCAGTGGTGGATTCACTTGCTGACGAACACGTCGACCCAGTTCGTCCCAGATGTGTTCAATAGGATTAAGGTCGGGCTAGGCGACGGCCAATCCAGGACTTGGACACCGGCATTTCTTAAAAAATTCTGGGTAGCAATTGCTGTATGGGGTCGAGCATTGGCTTGTTGAAACGTTAGCCCAGGTCCACGTGACTTTACAATTTTATGAAATTAAAGGCTTCTTACTACTTACTATCGTTAGAAACACTTTAAAATTTATTTGACTTACCAGAAAAATTTTTTTGTTGAAATTCATCAGTGTCAAGTTTTTAATTTGGCTGAGTATATATACTAGATATACTAGATAGAGCACAATGGATTGTAATTTTATTTGTCGCAGTTATAACTTATTCCCACGTCAAAAAGGTTTGGTTATATATAATCTATGTTAATTAGAGTCAGAATGGAATGCGGTTTAAGTTGAACACATTGTGTAAAGTAATTATTAATTCTACAAGTTAAAACTGCTGGGCATGAAATATTATGAAGGCCCTTCGAAACAAGGAACATATTTGAAAAGAGTGAACAGAACATTTCTGTAGTAAACAATATCCAATTCTCAACTACTGTTATTTTACTCTCAAATAACAAGACATGGACATCTAGTTGTAGCTTTAGGGCAAAATTAAATCTTATTAACATATTCTTTGAACTTACTGTGTTGGTGTTGTACTTCACTGTTTAATGGTGTTTCATTTTCTTGAAAATCATCATCTTCATCTAAAAAATAAATAAAATAAAATTACTAAGAATGATTAGTGAAATGGTTTTATTTACACAGGCCATGGTCTAAGGGGAGACAACTATTGTTGTCAGTAACACAATTCAACTTGCTTGTGCCTCTATCAAAAGGAATTGCGTCCCCTTGAAAGTACACATTCTGGAAGAATTTCACATTGGTGTCTTTGCCATGAATTAAATAATAAACATATCAGAAAATTTGTGTATTAACTCTGCTGGCATCAAAATAATTACCCAAAAGTCTGTAACAGAAATAGATCACAGAAATGATTTTACTTACCATCTTCAAATATCTTCTTACAAGCTGTAGAACGGAATCCTTTTTTAAATATTCTAGGAACTGAAGCAAATAAAGGACTAAAGGACACCTCCGCTAACTTCTCTTTCTTTTTGATTATTTTCTCCTTCTTTGTGATGACAACTATATTTTGATTTGTTTTATCTGTTAAAAGAAAAATATTTAATTTAATTTTGAAAAATAATTGTACAGATTTTTGTAACAACTTATTTCATCACAAAATTATTTCGAATAAATCTGTGATAAAATACATGTACTGTACATTGTATTTGTGACATCTTGTGATATCAAAAGAAATATGTTGCAGTTGAATTGAAAAATAAGGAGTACTTTGTCAGTGATCATTTTAGATTAGAGAAAAACCTAAGGTTTTGTGTGCACCACTGACAGCGTGCTAAAGATCCCCTAATATTTGTATTAACATGAATATTCATGACCTTTGTATATATGAATAGTAATGAGTTGTGTGAGTGTGCAGCCATAGATTTAGTTGTCATAGTAAAGCATGCACTTGTCTTCTGTACATCAAGCGATAACATGATGTGCTGTAATGGCATATGGCTGTGAGAATAAATACAATGGAATTAATATAGTGTGGTCATTTAACATTTGGAAAGTAAAATAAGATTAAGCTATAGCATCACAGTCCAGGTAAAATTTCCCTCATCATAGCACACTGTATGGCATATCCCAGTGTTCATTAGTCTGGTTGGTTCAAAAGAGTAAGATGTTAAATGCCATTTCCTTTAATTTCGCAAAATTATGTTTGCAATTTTACGTGTATCACGAAAATATTCCTAATCCAGTCCACAAAAGACATGCTAGGAAAACAAAATGTCTGGATGTCAAATTATGTATGACTAAAATACTCCTATTCCAGTCCACAAAAATCATGCTAGGAAAACAAAATGACTGGTTGTCAAATTTTACAGGGACAGCACAGGATAAAATCAAAATCATACCTTGCAGGCCTTTTCTTTCCTTTTCAACAACGTTCGGCTGTGATATGATCTTTTCACTTTTCTTGGATTTTTGGCTCACTTTTTCTACGTTATTCTCATTCTCTTCAGGCAGGGACTTCTTCAAATCTTTGCTGCTAATGCTTTTAGAATTTAGCTTTTTCCCCACTTTTCGATTGGCTTCTTTATTTGGTTTCTCCAGCAAATGTTTTTCCTCTTTCATTTTCTGTAATTCTTCCCTACAGAGAATCAACTGGCGCTGTATTTCGGTCATGGCTGTGTCGCTGTTGGTGGATATGTTGTTTTGTGTTATTTTCTGTAGTATATTTTGTTCCATTTCCTGCAGTCGAAGGTTAACTATGTTCTCTAGGTTATTCTGTCTTCTCATTAATGGACTGGAACACAAACACAATGAAATTTACAGAGACACAATGAAATTTACAAACAAAATAAAAATAAAATCAAAATCATAATTAAAAAAAAATGCAGTTCAAGTACAATCAAGATTATCTTGTTTAAATTTAAAGATGTTCTTCAGATAGTAATTAAACAAACATTATGTAAGAGCTAAATCTGCCTATTGTAAGTCTTTATTTAGGCTTCAGATGTTTAGAAATTATCAATTAGACCTTTATTTACACAACAAGCTCAAAATCAACTCTGTAGACCCACGGATGGCTTGGATACAGTTTGGATTTAAACAGTCGTCCATTTAAAATTAAATCAATAGATGGCGGACCAAGCTAACGTTTACCGTTAGTGGCTGATGTCCCTAGCGGAAACTGGTGATGTAAGGCCTGCCAAGCAAGGCTACAATACATGCAGCCATTGAGCATGTTACTTGATAATCGAGAATACGTGGATGGAGTTATCATCTGTCAATCAAACAATCGCCAATTCTCATAGATGGTACAGACACAATTGATGCCTATTTCTAGTCTAAACATCCAACAGTGACAATTCCGTTCAGGACAAAGTAATTTGACTGAGATTTTCAACATTTTCTTTTTTTATCATCTAGATTTGAATTATTATAGCAAGAATGGCCAACTCTTTATAAAACTCGTAACTAATGTATCTTTAAGAAATTAAAACATAAACTAAATATAGGTTGGATACCGTCTTTGCCCTGGTGTTCATGGTTTAAAATGAGTTATCATTCAAATGATTACATCAAAATCAATTTTAGGTAAAGTGAACTTTTGATGGCCAAAAAACACTAAATACCGGAAAATACCCTAAATAGGTAACCCGGAGACTGGCACCCTAAATAGGTAACCCAGAGCCTGGTCCTCTGTGTGCCTGGGTTAGGGTTAGTTTCCGGTTTATAGTATAGCCCTTCTCCTGGTTACCTATTTAGTGTTAATGCAAAATTCAAAATAAGGATTTTTAAAAAGACAACGTTTTACTGTCATTTGTCCATTTCCACAAAAAGTATATACCACATTACGTGAAGATGTACCATAAAGGAGCTAACCCACTAACTCAATATTTCCCATAATAATCGAAATTAAAACATCAATTAGAATTCAATATTGGTCTATTTCAATCGATATTGGTGTTGTTGTCTTGTCGTGAAAATATACGATCCTAACATCCAATATTTAAGACAAGTGTACTCTATGGTTTCAGGCAATATTTGTAATGAACAAAGAAAAATATATCCTTCAAGATAATACACAAGTAATTAGTAATAAAAACATGCAGAATGGTATAAGCAGACATAAATGACTAACGTTCAATTTGGACTTATTTCACCGAATATAATTGATCAAAATTACAATTATCTTTTTTTTTAAAAATTGAATATAAATCACTTTATACATTCATATTACATTGAAATGTGCTCTTAGACCCATTTTCATCTATTTTAATTAAAGTAACAATGCACCATTGACATTTCTCGTTAAAATATCAAATTTCTAATAGCTTAAAGGGGCATTATGGAAGATTAGATAAAGAGCTGGCAGTTCTCACTATAATAGTTAAAAAGTAAACAATGTAAAGGAAATATGCTGAAAATTTAAGTCAAATTGTTCCACTCTGAACCAAGATATTAGCGATTGAATTTATGTCTAGCCTCAATCATCATTCCTAAAGTCGGTACGATAAAAAAACAGTCCCGATTATCCATTTTTGCATTTAATCATCAGTGAGCGTTGAAGAGCAGATCGGATTGAAATCCAGTGAAAATCTAACACATAAGATGGCATTGAGTGTTGATTATGGTCTTTTCATGTAAATAAATGTCTAATTAATAGTTTAGATAACATTTCAGGCCTAAAGAAAGACCTGCAATAGGCAGATTTACCTCTTGCATATGTGTGTTTAATCCACGCTAATATGTTCTCAGATTATTTATCATTCAAAATACCATGCTAAATAATGTCCCAGCTTGCACTGTAACCCAGGTATCGTTTAATCTTGTGTATCTAGCACTAATTTCTTTCACATTCGTTTAATATCAAATCTTTGTTTAAAAATTCGTAAAAATTGTTTAAAATCACCAAAAGTTTAAAGCTGACTGATTAATTTTGATAATGAGTGTCCAATTTACAAGTATTTAATTTCCTGATCACTGTTCAAAAATTGATCATTATACATCATTAATCAATTGGGTTGTTTATTTTTTAACAATGATTGAGAAATTAAACACTTGTAAATTGGACACTCATTATCAAAATTGAATGGTCATCTTTAAACTGGACAGAAGTACAAATTAAACGATTTATGGTGATTTTAAACAGTTTTTACAAATTTTTAAACAAAGATTTAATATTAAACGAATGTGAAAGAAATTAGTGCTAGATACACAAGATTAAACGATACCTGGGTTACAGTGTTGGATTCAATCAGATCTAAAATAGGTCTATCATTAAATTTTCATAGACAACGTAATGGCAACAGTAGATTGCATAGCGTGCAGCATAGATTGATGAAATTTCAATTCCACAAATCTTTGTAAAAATACTTTACGAAACTGAACCATTATTGGACTGATATCCTGTTTCATTTGACACTGAACACAAGATGACAGGTGCCTCAGGGATGTCGTGTCTGACATTTAAAGTTTAAAATTAACTGATATTTATCAATTACTTCCTAATAGAAGTGATTTGTTGATTTTACTAACCTGAGCAATGGAGCTGGATCTGTAGAAACTGGGGCTTCAGCAGATATTAAAGGACTGGGAGATAATCTGGGTTTTTTGGCATTTTCATTTAATAATTTACTGGAATTGTTTCTCTTTAAGAAATTATGAGTTGTTTGAGCTGTTTCTCCACTGGTGCTCGTGTTTCCTGAAGAAAAAAATAAAATAAAAGAAACGGTATTTAATGTCTGCTAAAACTTTTTTCGTCAAGCCAAAATTGTTCACAAATCAGTATTTATTTTTTCCCCTAAATAGCATATGAAAAACTGATAGGAAATGTTTGACAATAACATAGACATAATTTTGAAATTTAGAGAATTAAAAGTGTGACATGTTCTAATTATCATGCATATAAAATGTTTTTCACCCCTAAAAGGCCCAGCATTGCTTCAACCTTCTGTGGTCTAAGAGGAGAACCACGTCGGATAAGCCAACATCTTACTCACTGAGTGTATTTAATTAATCTGGATCAGGAGTCCCACACTTACCTGATAATGACGATGTTGATGTTTGTTGTTTTAAACAAGTTGTATTGGTGTTGACTATCTTTTTACTCTTACTAGCAAAGTTTAATGTACAGTATGTATCATAGTAATAATGTTCTTCAGGTGCTATGTTAGTTATCATTATAGAATGACATGAACCGCCAATAGAATCCTACAATAACAAAATAAACATCACTAGTTAAAGCCTCAGGGATTTTGTATCACCAATTGACTCAGTGGCAGACCTTATGATCTTAACTGCATGATTTAGACCCCTCTGCCCTTCTTGATGATGTTTAAGTTTGCGAAAAGGAAACATGAAAAGTCAAGGAAAATTTCCGTTAGTACAACGTTTTACCCAATTGGATTAGGGTTGCCTGCCTAATCTCAATGGTTATTTCTTTGGTACTCCAGTTTAGTTACACTTGAGCAAATTGTTGGGAGAAGAGAGGTTGCCAGATAACAAAACATACACCCACAGCAGCTAAGTCGTCCAGAAATGAAAACATTTACAACACACTAAAATCTGATTACAAGTAACAACCCATTTAGCTTCTAGTTCTGCCCTATTCTTACATTTAGCATATAAAACATTTAATACCAATTGCCATAATTTGAAAATTGATAGGCTCCTTCGTTTCATGACCTTATAAACACTGTATTACGTATAAAGTCAATCGGATATTAACTTTAGTCCGTAGAGTGTCCACAAGCAATTGTGGAAGCCAGACCACCGGACGGGCGGGGGCGACAACAACAACAACCACATTTCAATGTGGGTGTATAAAAATAAATACAAAATAATGTTAGTCTTGAAATGATTGAGTCAGTGTTGTCCAGACTCAAAACCCTTCTAGACATTTATTTACAAACCTACCTGTAAAAGTCTTGTTAATTTACTGTTTCTGTAAGGTATTCTTGGCTGCAACAATCAAAGCAGTAAAATAAATGACATTCGAAATAAAAAAAAATCTTTACCGAGACAGTAACCAAACAAAAAATGGTAACGAAAAAAATCCATACCAACAACATTTTTGTATTTGCATCCAAACAAAAACTTGCTTTGGTTTTACAATGATACAAAAAATTAAAATCTTATTTATTTTAAGGGAATAATTAGAGAATTAAACATACATTATGCAAGAGCTAAATCTGTCTATTGCAGGTCTTTCTTTAGGCCTGAAATGTTATCTATATTATTAATTAGACATTAATTAACTTATCCAGACCATAATCAACTCTAGATGGCATCGCTAGTCTGCGATCTTAAGTGGATTGTGAGCCGATTTACTGCATAACTTTCCTTCTCGATTAAACGATTAAATGGATAATCGAGACTATGCTGTTTATCGTACTGACTTTAGTAATGATGACCGAGGCTAGGCAGAAATTGCATTCGCTTAGTTCTCGGTTCATAGTGGATCAATTTGAATGAAATTTTCAGCTAATTGCCTTTACGTTATCTAGTTTTTAATTATTATAGTGAGAACTGCCAACTCGTTATCGAATCTCCCATAATGTATCTTTAACTATTTGAAACTTTAAACATTTTCTTGAAAACAGCAAGTGATAAATTTTGAAGTCAATGCATCATAAATTTCTAGTTTAAGACACAGTTCAGTACCCACCTGATTATTATTAATAGCATCTACAACTTCTCCCAATACAAACAATGATTTATTAATAGCTCCACTCTCTTTTAATCTGATCAAATAAAAATTCAATTTTAATTTTTAACTCAGATAAAAGCACAAATTTACACAATCTGATTAAACAACAGATCTATATTTCGTTTTGTTTCTTATACTTTCAATGACCTACACTACACGAAGATCTGACCAGTTGTTTTGGGAGGTAGCGTCAGAGGTCATACCAGCGGCTTTTGACCATATGACGTCAGATATTTGTTTAGCCAATCAGCATTGATGTTTCTAGTGGATTACCCACAGTTCCGTGCAGCTCACGCCAAAAGCTCATTGGCAAATCACTTACATCATACAGAACACGTCAATGATAGAGTCTTCCAGAGTAGTAAAGACAAGTAAAACGAAATTTTGAACTTTAAAAAACAAAACGAAATAGGATCTATGTTTTAATCAGATTTAAATTTAGAGACCATCAAGACAGGATTAATTAAATACAAGTTGATTACACTTTTATCATTGAATAGGACTTCACTAAAAAAGATTAGATTGAAACATTGTAGTTAGATGTTGATATAAGGCATTAATGTTGGGACTTGGCATGAGACTTATTGTGCATATTAGTAGTTCAATTTATGTTTGCTCACAAGAAATACAATTTCATATCATCTACTAGGCTAGTCACATATGCATTGATGTTCAAATTATGTGAGAAATTGAAATAATGACCATATAGTTCAATCCACTTAGTATGCACAGATATGTGTCGATATTTTACATCCACTCAACACAAACTAGGTCATACACATTGTGTAATTTTAATTCAAGAATTTGCTTGCGCATAGGGTTCTTTAGCAGAGGGAGGGAACCGGAGGACCTAGAGAAAACATGAGGTTTAACAGGCGATCCTGCTCCTCGTCACGTATGTAACCGGGGAATTGAAACCGTGCCAGTTGACTCAATGACAGGCCTTTTGATAGATCACGCACATGCTAACCATTTGCCGATCCAACAGCCCTCCATGGGCATAGGCCGGTCGTTTGTTATCTGATTCAAATAAACGATACATCATTTTAAAGTTATCGGGGCAGGGCATGTGAAAATAACAATAACTCATATTGCCAGTGCAGAGTCATAAATGAGCCAAATATGTTAAGTGAACAAGAAATTTAACATTATTGTTTGACTGTCTTTCCAGACATCGACATGTATATATAGACAAACGATTTTGATATTCAGGTAATATGAGGCTGTAATATCCACAACTAAAAATAGGAGCAAAGTTTGGAGTTACAAATTTAGAATGTTTTATTACCTTATTCCTTGATTACCAGTTCGACGATTATCTTCAGAGCCAGCTAAATCTATCAAATATATTTTACCCTGAAATTCTCTATTAGGTGGAAACATGGCGTTCTTTTTTACTTTTAACATAAGAATGCTATGACTTCTGCTTGATCTATCATTCAATTTAGTAGCAGCTACAGTCCTAAAGATAAACCATTACAATAGTTAAATGTTAAATGTATCATTCGATCATTGAATGACTTTTTGGGTGGGAGGTGGGGGGGGGGGGGGGGGAGAGTCACTGTGTTACCATGAGGTGATGCATGCTGCATGCAAATTGGAAAAATTTCCTTGAGACCTGATTTTCAAAACTGCTCCCTACTGATGAAGGAATGACCACTGCTCCAGTAATGAGCGTGCAAGCTTACCTGTTGTTTGAAGCAGGACCAAAATAGTTTTTAAATTCTTCAAAGCTAGTGATCCCTTTTTCTGCCAAACCTGCTACAAATATATTATGATCACCATCTTCTCTGATAGGCAAGTCTACAGATGCTGGTTCTAATAAATCTTGTACCTACAATTACAGAAAGTCTAATAATTTATATACAGAACAAAGCAACAGAGGTCATTGGTTCAATAATTCTAATAGCTCAAATTAAAGACTTAGACTGCTGTATAAAATAAATTAAACAGTCTATTCTTCCCCATAGGCATACATATTCAAGGGCAATGATCAACCTTTGAGGCTTTTGAATCCCTTGAGAACTACAATACTGTCAAAGTTGAATGTCTAAAAGGAATATCAGTCCAAATATGGTTTAATTATGTTCAGTATTTACAACGATATTTCGTATTTGGCATCCTTTGTAGATGATATAAATAAATTGGATATGGTCAAAACAAGTGATATACGGTAGATCGAATATCAATTATCATTGCTACATAATAAACAAAATCTTGAGACAGCGAGAAAGAGAGGCCACTCGACACAAACCAGGTCATTTCGGGACTAACATGGTTCAATTTTATTTCAATAATTCGCTGGCAAGTAGGGGTCTTTAACAGTGGGAGGAAGAAACCGGAGAAATCCACAAGGCTGGACAGGTGACCCTACTTCTTATGTACAACTGGAGAATCGAAACCATGCCAGCTGACTCAATGACTACGGACCTTATGATACAGCGCACATGTGCTAACCATTCGGCCATCCAAACCCCTAAAACCACTGGTTGAGTTAGAAAATAACATTGCTGACTGCAAGAATTACCCACCTTTTCATTATAAATTTCAAGATAAGAGAAAGTAACTGTATATTGCCATCTATCTTTCTGTGGTTTATCATTAACTGTGTTTTGTTCATTCTCTATAGTTAATAACAAATCATTGATAACTCTTGGTATCATACCAGGATCTGTACCACTACCCAACATAGTATGTGTCTTCCCTAAAATAAACAAAGCACAAATACTGGAATCTAAAGGAGGAAAAATTGTAAAACTCTTATTTCTAGTGGTCACATCAAATGCTGATTTTACTATTTCGATATTCTCAGTCATTTACTCATTACTCAAATGCTGTTTGAATATTTGATTCTACTGAAATAATAATTGTATGGACACTTTTTAAAACATTTTCAGATTTTTTAATCTGTAATTGTAATTTTGGGTTATTTTTGAACATTAGTTGATATCACTGAATTGATATCAGTAAATATTTCATAGGAGAAAAAAAGCAGATCACATTCCATTAGTTTTGATTGATATCAAATAACGAATACGAATAGCAAGTATTTGGCATATATGAACAAATTCCGTTACAATTTTATTTTTATGGCCAATGATTATTCAATGATTTTATGACTAGTTTCTGGTTCCTACATGTATAGAAATACCTACCTGCTCCAGTTGGTCCATATGCAAATATGGAGACATTCTGTCCATTTAACGATTTACTAATCATAGATTTGATACTATTATTATAGATGTGTTGTTGACTACATGTCTCATCATATACAGCACTAAAACTACAATAAAAAAAATTATTATACAACTATCATATCTTTATACTGTCTTCGTTAGCCCAGTAGGACGTTAAACCCCATTTCATTTCATTTTTTTTTATATATTTATTTGTAAATATTTATACATCTAGTACAGTATCTAATCAAAATCATTCTATATGTAGTAATGTGTAAAACTGCCTGTTATTTTCTGTTGAAATAATGTTCTGCATGATTTGAATACAATCTTTGAATTAAATTCTTTTGGAACTAGGGGCTAACAAAAATAATATGACCAATGAATAGATCTATGCAATCGGGGATTTTTTAAAAGAATCCTAAAGTGTAGAGATTTTTAGTGTTTACCTTCACAGAACTATATGCATCTGTATCAGTCAAACAAACTCTTAATAATAAACCCAATAAAATCACTTGTAAATGCATGAATTTGAAAATTTCCACGATTCTTAAATGCAGAACTGTATACCTACATATATGCTGGCAATCTGATATACCAACGCTGGCAATCTTATTGGCCAATAAGGTCAAGGGATCAGACCACCAAAACTCCAAATCGAATTTATCTTTACTTACTCATACATGAGATTTTCTCTGATGTTTCTATGATTCAATATTTGTACTGTGTTTGGTTTGTTGTTCGTATTAACACATGTTTTCACACCATCCTTCAGTGTTGGTCGAACTCTAACAATAACTTTTACTCTTGTCTGTTTCTTCTCTGAAGACATTTTCTCGACCTACTAAAAGACAAGAGAAAAGGTCTGAAATCGTCTACACACTACATGTACATGTGTATGTGTAGAATACTGTAGATCATATAATAGTAATACGCACTTTTAAAGTAGCACTATTTTTATATCATAAGACATAGGGGTCTTTAGCACTGGGAGGAAACCAGAGGAGCCAGAGAAAACCCACGAGGTTGGACAGGCGACCCTACTCCTCGTCACGTACAAGTGGGGAATCGAAACAACGCAACTTGACCTAATGACAAACCGTCTGATCCAACACGGATATAAATTTTATAATAAATTATTAAAAATCCCACTCTAGAGAAATTCTTAAATATTTGGTTTCTGAAATTAATTTTTTGACATGCCCAAAGAACGGCAATACTATATACCGGAAAGCACTGGAAAACTACCAGAAAACACCACCCTAAATAGGTAACCCGAAGCCTGGTAATCTGTGTGCCTGGGTTAGGATTAGGGTTAGGGTTAGTTTCCGGTTTATAGTATAGCCCTTCTCCGGGTTACCTATTTAGGGTGTTTAGTGTTTTTCTGGTGTTTTCCAGTATTCAGTATAACACATCTTCCGGTAGTTTTCCGGTGTTTTCTGGTATATAGTATAGTCCCCCAAAGAATCTTACTGGGGGATCCTCATTTCAATAACCTTGATTGTCATTACTGTTTTTATGATAATAAACAAAATCTCGATTATCTTATGGTTAATCGTCAACTGCCATTGAACCGCAGATCGGATTCAAATCTGTTGAAAATCAGACCAATCAGATGGCATCTAGAGTTAATAATTATGGTCTTGTCATGTTAATAAAAGTCTAATTATTTGTTTATATAACATTTTTAAGGCCTAAGCCTAAACAAGGATCCGGAATAATAGGCAGATTTAGCTCTTGCATAATAATAATGCCTGTTTAATGTCATAAATAATTAATAGATACAAATATGATTATTTTCGAAAATTTCCCAAAAGCTTTTACTTTTCTTTTATGAAGACAGCAACGGGATTTAGATCTACTGTGTGAACCATCATAAATTTAAAATGGATTTCTTCGATTATGAACAAACTACTCAACTTTGGTTATTATAAACTTACCTGTGTGTTTGAAATCAACTCCCGTTAAATAAAATCCTCTGCACAACTAATTATCCCAACGAACAAAAAAGTTCTCTCTTGAAAAAAAAATTGAATTTCCACAAACTTTGACACAGAAAAATACCAATATGGAAGCTGATTACGTCACTCTCTGGGAGATATCATTTCGTATAAGGGGTGACAGCATAGCAAATCGGCACTTTTACAACAATTCAAGTTTGGTTTAAGAAAAAGCTACAGTACAAATCTCGGCTCGGCATTGAGTTTGGGCGTTCACACACATAACTATCTGTATTCTTTTATTTTGTTGCCGTCTTTTACATTCTAGTAAAATCTCTGCAAATTTTATTACTTTACACCTTTTGAAATATTTTGTTTTAATTATTTGATTAGCTACTCTGACGAGATCATTTTCTTTTGAACACACATGCTGCACAACAACAATTACATTTGTTTTACGGGCCTTAACTATTACCCATGATTATCTTTAATATGATAAATTAATAACATATTTTTAGTTTATATATGACTTTATTTTTACGAGTATCAGTGATATTTTCATTGTGAATAAAATTGAAAAGACTGGCGATCAATGGTTTCAACATGGACCGTGTATGCACAGGAAACGTCAACGAAGCCTTTAGAATTCTGTGCCGCAACAAAAAATAGACCGGACAATCATGACTAAAATAAAATTACCTCCCCTCGCGCAATTACCAGTATTAAGTTTAAAAGCAAAGAAACATAAATCAATTCATAATATTTTTTATTAATCTTGCTACTCTTTTTTTCTTTGTAACCCATACATGTACATAGATAGACTACTATAAATGTAGTAAATGTATCAACACATCGTCTTTGTTTACTTTGGACGCGCCAATGTGAATTCGAAAAAACCAAGTCGAGTTTTCGTTAAAAACAAACCTACTAAAACATTCTTTTAATTTTTACTTCTGCACAATTAATCATCATTCCGGACAGTATTATTCCTGAACTTTATTTTCATAATTTTAAAATCCTTCGTCCATGCGGGAATTTGGACTATTTGGAGTATTTTTTAGCAAAACCAAAGTGCTTACAAAAACTACGAAAATATTGAAATCGATCATTCCACAATTTTCAACTGCTGCATTTGGAAATTTCACAGTTCTAAACTTGAGAAATTCGTCACTACCGGATAGGAATACTTATAGTTATTGGGTTGAAAAATTACCATGTAACTATAAGAATACTGTAAGTTCGAGAAATTAATCTGTATAAAATCCAGCTATGTCAAATATCACATCGCTTGAATTGCCGTTGAAAATTGAGGTCTCGTCATGTCTCGAGTGAGCAGCAGAGAATCCAACCAACGGGACTATACGGTCCATGGTTTTAATATAAATCTTCAGAACTTTGATATTTTCCGTCTCCCAAACTCAAACGATCGTAATGATCGCGCTTTGTTTTCATTGCAACATGTGGTTATCAAACTATCTGTCAAAATTAAACCACCCCCTCAACAGCTGCAATGGGGTCGTCCAACATGTAACGAAATCATTGTTGTCGTCGATTCAGTCGAAAATACAAGTAAATAGTCAAATTTGTCAAGAGAGAACTTTTTTATACGTTGGGATATTTAGTTGTGCAATGGATTTTATTGGACGGGAGTTGATTTCAAACACACAGGTAAGTTTATAATAACGAAAGTTAAGTGGTTTGTTCATAATCGAAGAAATGCATGTAACATTTACGATGGTTCTCACAGAATGGGAGGGCACAACAACAACAAAAATTTCCGGAAATAAATTCCAAATAAATTTACTCACAGAACCATGTTATTGCCAATCATTTTAAAGACATTTATTATTTGTCAATCAATTCAAAGACATTTATTATTTAACTTATTATGTCAATCATGACTATCACTATGGCCTGCACTGATATAGACAACAAAAAAAAAAGGAAATTCGTGGCACCAGCACTGCAGTTGTAGTAGTGCAGAAAATGACCAGGGGCTGAAACGACGAGAGGGGATTAATGATATTCCGCTAAATCTCTGATCAATCTCATAAAGTAAAAAGAAATTTAAGATTAGCAGGAACAACTGTGAGATATAATAAGAAGAAATTACGCCTAATTTGTTGCCTAATAGATTAAAAGTATAATAATTCTTCACCATCAAAATACACAAAACTCTTTCAAATATGGCTCCTTTCTTTGGGCCAATCACTTTTCATCGGAAGTAGACTTTGATGAACCAGGTCATTTTTCGCTTTAACAATTCAACATTTCCAAACATTAATTTTAAGATTCTTTCACAACATGTATAACGTGCTAAGACGCAAACTAAAATACGTAAAAATGACTATTAAATGAAATAAAACATTGCCCCAAGATCTAGATATATGGTAATAAAATTACCCGATTTCGAGGAAGTGCTGCGAAGCAAGGTAACCACAGAGTAACTGATTATCGCCACGCCCCTTTTTTCACAGCAATCATTCGATTATCCAGACATTCAATGAAAGAGGAAGTTGGCTTGTTTATTTCAGGAAAATGGCAGCGGCTGCAGTTCCTCCTCGAATTATCAAAAAAGAACACAAATCAAAAACGGATTGTAATGGAAAAGAGGCGATAGACGTTCTACTTCAGATGGGGTTCCCGAAAAATAGAGCGTAAGTTTACAGAAGAGGACAGTTTGCATATCCAGTTGACATGACTGACAAAATGTATGACAACTCGGGCTAAAAAAGACGACTAATCGCTAGACCACTCGGCCCAATAAAAAAAAGATAATTCATCCCAAAGATAGGATACCACTCATCCCAAAGATATCAGACCACTCATACTCAATTTATTGTTTTTTATTTATCATTATTTATAAAATTGATATATATTACTATTACATCAACAATTTCTAAAACAATTGAATTTACAAGAATAAAATAATTAATATAAAATATAAATTAAATAAGTAGCTAATAAGTCTCTAACTCAATATCATACAAATTCTTACACGTTGAAAACACGAATTATTTGTCAATTAAAATCAACATTGATGTTGTGATCTTACCGGGAAAAGGTAGGCTTCTGATATCCATTTTACCATTGGTACACGAATCGTGTACCATAGTCACCAGTGCGTTTCAGCGTCACTTGTAACAAGTGACCAGAAAGAATGAGACTAGACATATTCCACAACTCATGTCAAACGGTGACGCCATGAGAGCATGCGCAATAGACTGGAATAACCAGACACTAGAAATAGCGATTCGGTTGAGACTCATGCGGTATTTCGCTGGAGATACATGTAACTGATTTGAAATTAGAGTCAAAACAGAAACAATTGAATGTAAATCAGTTTATATTTATATACAATCAGATTACATTATTATATGTGTTGCGACCCATTTGGGTCATTTTCTAGATCCCAAATATTAGCGATTTAGCTCCTTTAATCTTTATTACATCAACATCAACTATCAGTATCAACAGTTTATTAAAGGGGCATTATGGGAGATGAGATAAATATTGCAGGCTAGTAATGACACCGAGAGTTGATTATTGTTTGGATAAGTTAATTAATGTCTAATTAATGATTTAGATAACATTTCAGGCCTAAAGAAAGACCGGCAATAGGCAGATTTAGCTCTTGCATAATTTATGTTTAAACAATAATTTATTTTTGTCCCCCCGCCTTTCGAAGAAAGCAGGGACTATTAAAATGGGTTTGTCTGTCTGTAACACTTTTTGGGACACAATAACTCTCCTTCTAATTGAGCTAGAATGTTCAAACTTGGTGTAGGTGTTTATTAGGTCAGTGTCTTGATGGAGTTTGGAGATGGGCATTTTCTGCTTAGGATAAGGAGAGATAAGCAATTTGATTGGTTGATGCTTTGGGACACGATAACTTTAGTTCTAATTAAGTGAGAGTGATGAAACTTGGTGTATAGTTTCATTACATCAATACCTTGACTAAGTTCGATAATGAGCATTTTCTGCTCAGGGTAAGCAGAACGATAAGCAATTTGATTGGCAGAGACTTTGGAACACAATAACCCTCCTTCTAATTGAGCTAGAACGTTCAAATTTGGTGTAGGTGTTCATCAGGTGAGTGCCTTGATGGAGTCCGAAGATGGGCATTGTCTGCTTAGGGTAAGCAGAGATAAGCAATTTGATTGGTTGATGCTTTGGGCATTATCACATTAATACCTTGACTAAGTTCCATAATAAATAAGCATTTTCTGCTTAGGGTAAGCAGAGCGATAAGCAATTTGGTTGATCGAGACTTTGAAACACAATAACTCTCCTTCTAGTTGAGGTAGAACAATCAAACTTGGTGTAGGTGTTCATTAGGTGAATGTCTTGATAGAGTTTAATGATAAACATCGTCTGCTTATACGGTAAGCAGAGATAAGCAATTTGATTGGTTGATGCTTTGGGACATGATAACTTTAGTTCTAATTAAATGAGAGTGATGACACTTGGTCACAGGTGTATGGTTTTATCACATTAATACCTTGACTAAGTTCCATAATAAGCATTTTCTGCTTAGGGTAAGCAGAGCGATGAGCAATTTGGTTGATCGAGACTTTGAAACACAATAACTCTCCTTCTAGTTGAGGTAGAACAATCAAACTTGGTGTAGGTGTTCATTAGGTGAATGTCTTGATGGAGTTTAATGATAAACATCGTCTGCTTATACAGTAAGCAGAGATAAGCAATCTGATTGGTTGATGCTTTGGGGCCAATAACTTTAGTTTTAATTAAGTGAGCGTGATGAAGCTCTGAGTATAGATTTAATATATGATTACCTTGACTAAGTTTGATGATGAAAATTTTCTGTTTGGCTAACAACTCTGCTTTTAATTGAGGTAAAATGTTTAAACATCTATGTAGATGTTCATTAGGTGAATGTCTTGACTGAGTTCAATGATTAACATTAATATTGTAATTGCGTGTTACAGCCGTGACAAGACAGTCAAAGTAATTAGTATACACCACTGTCACCAATCTAGTATAAGTGTCAAAAGTGCATGAGTCATCTCATTCGATTGTCATGACCCGGGCTATAGTATGAGTATTAAAATGAGGACAAGCACATGCAGTCACTCTAGTCATGAAGTGATTGATATGTAAATTCATGAATAACAGTAAATACTAATATATGTGTATTATTATGTAAGCTGTGTATCCTGCAAATAAAATATTTTTATATAGCTTTTTAAAAACTATATAGTAAGTGCAGGGACACTGCACCACACATAAACTCGATATTATCCATAATATTTGACTTTCATACACAAATTAGAATTCAGTATTTTAAATTCTAAATGTTGCTATCTGACCGTAAAAATATGGGCACCAGATATCCAATGTTTAAAGGGTGTATGGCTCTATCTTTAGAACGAAAAAGGGTCTAGAAGCACATATTGTTTAATGTAATATCAATGTATACAGATTTATATTCAATTTTTTAGTTTTTTATTGTAATTTCTGATCAATTATAATGTTTGGTGAAATACTTGAACAGTCCAAAGTGAACAGCAGCCATTTACGTCTGTTTAGTCCACTCGACACATATTTTTGAAATATTATTTTGTCATACATCAATGTATGTGAATCAGCCATTACTATTTACTTCTCAATTGTCTTGTAGGATATGTTTCTCTTTCTTTGTTCATTACAAATGGTGTCCAAAACCATAGAAATACATGGCTCCAGTACTAATTTTTATATGTTCATTATGTCTTAAATATTGGATATTAGGGTCCCATATTTTCATGGCAAGATAACATCATCCATACTGATTGAAATGGGCCAAAATTGAATTTTAAATTATGTTTTATGTTTTAATTTAGAAGATTTTTAGCTCCTTAAGACACAACAAAATTTTAAAATCAGTTCCCAATATTGGGTTCTCAGTGTGAAAGAAATTAAAAATAGCTGATTCACAAATGGCAAAAAGAAAAAGCGATAAATCTATAGACTACGCTAACCATAGACTCAAACCACTGCCATTCAATTTGGACTGCTTATTTCAAAGATCAGAAGCTTACATGTAACTGATTTGAAATGACAATAAAATTTTAAAAAATTGAATGTAAATCAGTTTATATATAATTATATATTACATTAATGTAGGATTGAGGTCTTTTCCACCCATTTTCGTCTGTTTCAAAGAAAAGAGCAACACACCCTTTATGATTATTGATTCGAAGAGTCAGTATAAATAAGTTTTTAAACATACATTATGCAAAAGCTAAATCTGGCATCAGATACTCGAGATTTTAACTAGATTAGAACGATTCGCCATTTAAAAATGGGAAAGCGAGGCTAAGTCTCGAATATACCAGTGCCCTGGTTACCATTATGCACAGATCTTGTCAGAACTACAAACAGTGATAGTTTGGCTCAGAATGAAGTAATTTGAATGAAATTATTATCATCTATTTTTGAATTATTATATCAAGAATGACCAACTCTTTATTAAACTCTTAATTAATGTATCTTTAACAGAAAGCTTATATTCTATCTGTTTAGGTTGAAAGCTATAGCAACAACGGGCGATAAAGGTGTTCAGTTAGCATCAGATTGGTAAATATAACCCCCGTCTTTATTTTTGTACAAGTATCTGGTTTATTGTGATTATTTTATTATAATTTTATGTATTATTACAAGGGCTTTTTATCATGAAAGAGGCATTAGAACTTCAAAGATCTTCAATCATTAGCGGAGTCTAGGGTTATTTTAATTAAATGAAATAAATCTGATTTTTGAAAGTTCTAATTCCTCTTTATTTAGCTAACAACCTAAATAAATGACTGTGATAATGAAGATAGTCATACACCATACAGTGTGCTATGACTAGTATGAGGGAAATTTTGTTTGGACAGCGGCACTACGGCCTACTCTTAATATCAAACTCCAACTGCCAAGGGTTCTTTTCGCGTACAGGACCTCAGGTTTTTCGTACCATCTGAATGATTATACATTGTTCCATGCCAGGACCTCTGTCCTACATCTCTGACAAGGGGGAACCATGCTTGAAAATTCTGATGAACTTTCTCGGCCAACAGCAGGATTTGAACACAAGACCTCCATGTTAGCGAGCCAACGTCTTAACCACTGAGCCATCATATAGCTCCCACAGCCTAAATAACATTCTCAACTAAGTATTGTTTACAAGGTTGGTTCTGCTTGTTTGTTATATGTTATATTTCTGTAAAACCAGTTAAACAGGATTTTCTGGCTAAACAGGAGGATGAGTACATGAATGTACAATCACAATAAATTATCTAAACTTATGTTGACTGGGGATATTAGACTAAACATCTTCTTAAACTTAAAGGGTTTCAAGTTAATATTTTATTGTACCCAACTTTCTAAAAAAAAGTGGTGACTATTAAATTGGGTATGTCCATCTGTCTGTCCATCACTCTTTTAGTGACACAATGACTCTGCTTCTGATTGAGCTAGAATGTTAAAACATAGGTGTTTATTAGGTGAATACCTTAATGGACTTCGAAGATGAGCATTTTCTGCTTAGGGTAAACAGAGATAAGCAATTTGATTCGTTGATGCTCTGGGACATAATAACTTTAGTTCTAATTAAGTGAGAGTGATGAAACTTAGTGTATAGTTTCACTACTCAATACCTTGACTAAGTTCGATAATGAGCGTTTTCTGCTCAGGATAAACAGAACGATAAGCAATTTAATTGGTCGAGACTTTGGAACACAATAACTTTCCTTCTAATTGTTCAAACTTGGTGTAGGCGTTTATTAGGTGAATGCCTTGACGGAGTGCAAAGATGAGTATGTTCTGCTTAGTTAGGGTAAGCAGAGATAAGCAATTTGATTGGTTGATGCTTTGGGACACGATAACTTTAGTTTTAATTAAGTGAGAGTGATGAAGCTTGGTGTATAAATTCATTACATCAATACCTTGAATAAGTTCAATAATGAGCATTTTATGCTTAGACTAAGTAGCGATAAGCAATTTGATTGGTCAAGACTTTGGAACATAACAACTCTGCTTTTAATTGAGGTAGAATGTTTAAACTTGATATAGATGTTCATTAGGTGAATTCAATAATTAACATTTCCCACTAAAGCTAAGCAGAGCTAAGCAATTTCATTGATAGATGCTTTAGGACAAGATAACTTTGATTCTAACTGATGGAGAGTGATGAAACTTAGTGTAAAGTTCCACTACCAGGTATAGATAGTCATTTTGATTGCTCAATAATTTTGAAAAAGATAAAATTAATCAATATGTGTCATCTATTTATTTTGGGATTTTGGCGGGGGACATCAGCCTCACTGTTGGCTTGTTTTATTATTAATTGAAGTATGATGTTATCTGTGTAGTTGTCACGCTTGAAAAACTGAAGTTGTCATGGTTTATGAATTATGGGCTTGTGATTATCGATGGACATCACATTAGCCTTTAAGATATTTAAATGTTAAAGATATCACTGTTTGAATAGAAATAGCAGAAACATAACCATAGACATAGTTTGTTTACATTATTTCAATGTAAAATAAACCATAATAGTATAGTGTTTACCTTAAACAATAATTTGTAGAAAAGTTGACTTTGTAGTACCAATGCAAATGTCTGTAAAATAAAGTTGCTTTGTGCCTTGAAATAGACATATATATTCTACAAACTGGAGGCTATTTTCTCTTGATCAAAAGATTTAAATTGTAGTGTTCGATCAGTAAATGATTCACCTTTAAAGATACATTGTCCCAAAAGTATTTATCGGTTGGTTATTTCCAATAAAAGTATGGCAAATTTGGGAAATATGGAAAGTATAGACACCCAATCTTACTAGAAAAATAAGATTACCCGAAAAACACACATGGGGCAAGCACTGTGCAAAAATGTCAGGGTATCACTAACTGGCAACCCATCTATTGTCTGTCAGCTTATTGTGTGCTAGCTTGATTGAGGGAGCGGTTGTTATTTCTTGATCAAATGGTTCAGTGATTTTGGGAACATTGAGGAATGTCAAAGTACAAATGACTCTTCAATTTGATGGAGAAAAAGGTGGGTGACAGAAAATAATTAAGAATTTACTTAGGCCTCAATATGTATGGTAAATGGACAGTAAGTAACGAAAAATACATTCTGAAAAAGGGACCCTCCCTCAGTGAATTGAGCTGACATACATGGCATCTAACAACAGTTTATATATAGCTTGAGGTATCCCCCGATGAATACAGAATTTTGAGAAAGATATGAAGCAAATTTTGATAGATTAATTAGTTTGAATATGTTTTTAGTCCAAATATATCATGAAATCACCCAGTTTGTACGCGGGAAAGTATCTTTAAAATTTAATGAAAACCAAGGATTGAATCCATGTGAAAATTCTAAAAGAACATATAAACTTTCAATGGTTTGGAAAAAATTGACGAAGGAGTAAGGACATTCTCAAGCTTTAACTTCTGACACTGGCTGTCAGACATCGAAATAGCCAACAAAAAGGCTATCAGTGTAAAGACTTTGTATGTTTTATTTTGTATGTTTTATTTTGCAGGTTGTTATCACATGTAAATGATAAAACATTAGATGAGAAAATAGATCGAGAATATATCCTCTATTTATGCCCTGTAGGAGAACTTCAGGCAGAACTAACAGCATTCTGGGAAAAATCACAAAATCTATGTGGCTGGAATGGTGCTCATTCCTATTTTCCTCATGTAACATTATGTCCTTTTTTTAAGGTAAGTTGTATAGCTCTACATCTGGGCTTGAAACAAAAGGAAGACTAGATAGTCAAAAAATGCTCCCCTAGAGTTGCAAATCAGGAAATCTCTCCCCAAGAAAAGCTCTCTATAACCTGCTTATATGCAGGTGAGCCTTTTCTCTCTTGCAGTATACAAAGGGACTTTTAGCTACAAGAAATCAATCTGATTAAAACACAGATCCAATTTCGTTTCGTTTTTATAGTTCAAAATTTTGATTTTACTTGTCTTTACTACACTTGGATCTGGAAGCGTTGTTATTTAACTCATGTTCTGCTTGAAATGAGGGGTCAGCCTATCAAATGGTCTGTCGAATTGAGCATTTGACCTTTTTTGCGTGGAACTGTGGGTAGACCTTAGCGGCAATAGAAATCAAAACAAAGCAAAAGTAGATAAAAAAATGCATGGCGGTCGCTAATTGGTTAATCGAATGACTGGCGTAATCGGGTAAAATGTCGCTTGCTTGGTACCTGACGTCATAGAACGTGAACTCCCACTATAACTTGTTAGATCTACATGTAGTGTAGGCCATCGAAAGTATAAAAAACAAAACGAAATATAGATCTATATTTTAATTAGATTGACAGGAAATTTAACACATGTTTCTTGGATCTTATTGTCTGTCATCAAGTCAAGTAACGTGGTTTCGATTCTCAGTTTGTACGTGTCAAGGAGCAGGGTCGTCTGTCCAACCTCGTGGGTTTTCTCTTGTGTCCTCCGGTTACCTCCCACTGCTTAAGACCCACACACACATGCCATTTATTGAAATAAAAAATTGAATTGTAGTTTGATTCCACAATGACCTAGTTTGTGTTAAACACAATTTCTCATTCTCTCCTTATTTGGAGTTGCATGTGAGTTTTTACACTGTATGTTGAAATCTCATGTTCTTGACCCTAATAAGATATTTAATGCAGGGTTCAGATTTCTAGAAACAGTATTGGACTCTGGACTCTGGAGTAAAGATGGTCTGTATCCATTTTGATTTTTTTTTTTGCGAAATTGTAGACCCTAACAGGTATTAATTTTGATGAAGGTGCATTATTAATATTATGTACTCATCAAATTTTCAGGAATAATTTTGGTGAAGATGGTCCCTATTAAGTTTTATCGTTCTCTCAAAAGTAATTCCAGAGTTATCACCCCTGGTTGTTGATGAATATATACATTCATATACAGACAAAAATAAAATTATGTGTTCTTAGAATAAAATGGTTTCTTTTAATTTATACACAAAATCTTTTTTTCTCTTATTACATAAGCAGGCAGATGAACGTCATGTTCCATTTTTGGCCAAAACTTTGTTAAATTTAGAACCAAGAGTTAAATATGCTCCTGGGAAACCGCATCTAGAATTTTTCGCACAGCAGAACTTTATACAAAAAATCTTTTTTTCTCTTTCCAGGCAGATGATCGTCATGTTCCATTTTTGGCCAAAACTTTGTCAAATTTAGAACCAAAAGTTAAAAATTGTCCGGAGAATCCGCATCTAGAATTTTTTGCACAGCAGAACTTTATAGGATTATTCATAGGAGGATCTCAGTATGAATATTTTAAAAATATAGTTCTAGACTATTCAGCTGCTTTAAAGAAAGAAGGTAAAGTTAATAAATTAAACGTTATAAATAGGTTACACATAAAGGAAATGATTCTGCTGTTTCTGTATTCTGGGAACCATGGTGTCTCTGTTTGCAGAGAAAATTCATCAGGATTTTCTGGTGTGGCTCCCCCTTGTCAGTGGTGCAGCATAAAGGACCTGGCAAGGGACAACGTATAGTCTTTGGATGGGACGAAAAACCAGGGTTCCATGTGCACACTGATGTGCACGTAAAAGAACCATTGACAGTTGGAATTTGAAATAAGAGTAGACTGTAGTGCCATGTACTACACCATGGCATACCTGTGTTTATTAGCCCAGTCGGTGCAGAACAGTAGGACGTTAAACCCCATTTCATTTCACTTGTTTTTATATTCTGAAAAACATAGATAATAAAGACAGCTGCTTGAATCAACTGTACGTGCCCCCTTTCAAGTGTTACCTTTAATTAAAGAAACAATATGTGATTTGCAAATATAAGATGGCACAAGTCTTGTTACATGCTGCATAGATGGATGGAATTTTCAATTCACCATAACTTTGTAAATACTAAACGGTATTGAACCATTTTTGGACTGATATTCCTCTTAGAGATTAAAATTTCTAAATATTGTACTTTGCAAGGGATTCTATAGCGCTATAATTAGAAGATAAACCCTTCCTGTTTCGCATTTAGAGTAATTAGAGGGGTGTTATTGTACAAAAGACATGTCCTGAGATCATTAGGACCCAAGAAGCGTTAGCGTCACAGGTTCTATTGTAAAATCTCAGGACATGTCTATTGCACAATAATCCCCCTCTAAATGCGAAACAGGAAGTGTTTATCGACATTGTAACATGCAATTTTAGGATTTTGAAAGGAATTACTAAAACAGAGGGGTGTTATTGTCCAATCGACAGTGTCTAATTGACCAATCACAATGATGCATAGATTGTTTAAAGAATGTGTTAGTGAGGTCATCAATACTACCAGATGATGTCCCCAGGTTTAATTGTTTTAATCTATCAACTTATTTTATTTTGTGTTTATCAAATTAACTGACAGTCGTGTTTCTGCTCTTTCTGACTGACATTTGCTAGTTTTGATTCCACTAGTGATGTCACACCAATGCAATCTTTTAAAAGTTTGTAAAAGTTTGTTCTTGTTTTTAATAGGAATTATTATGGAAGCCCCAAAGAAACAATTTCACATTACCTGTGCCTACCAGTATAAACCTGAACATCATGAAACATTGATGAAATTAGCCAAAGAGATTAATGTACAGGCTGAGGCACGGTGGTCCATACGATTATATTCAAGGGATCCTAAAATTGCGCACAGTGAGGTATATGCAGAATTAATTTATTTGTTAGTTTGTAATATTGTTTGTCTATTAGGACATGTGACAGACCTCGGATTTTGGAGTATCACCAATGTGATGAATTAATTCAATCATGGTTTTCAGTTAGCCTGATGTCTGAAGTGTTCAAATTTGATTGATGGACTTCCGGTTCACTTAGCGTAATACCATTTTGGCGACCATCTTTAAAAAATGGCAGTAGTAACTTCATTGAAATTGAGCGCGCCAAGGAAACCTTTATAACTCCTCAACAGTCAACAGATTTACCTATTGATATGGAATATGGCTTAAAATGTTCGCAATAAAATGCTAAAGCTGCTGTTATATGGAGAAGGAGATGCTGTAACAAACAATCATGATGGGGATTTGCTTTTGCATGATGTTGGGATGTTTTCGTCACCCCTTTCATTCTGTTTGTCAGTAATTCTTGTCAACACTCTACATGTCAGAGTTTTTGACCTTTTTAAAAAAAGTTGGGATAGTTCGTCTTAGATATTTTAATGCGAAACCCTGCTATTGAAATTCAGAATTGCAAAGTTTTTGCCCCTGTAACTGAAACCTTGTAAATGGTGAAAATCTTATAAAAATAAAAATTTCAAACTTCATGGCATTGTTTCACATGTCATACTGGAGAAATCCTGTTGAAATTTAGAGATTATGAACCTACCTCTCTTCTGAAAGTTAATGTTGAGGCATGCTGTGTGTAGACCTTAAGCAAAAGTAAATGCCACATTTGTTATTTCAACACGCATTACCGTAGTTAACAGATCTCATATTAAGCTGGCATGATTTTGATTCCCTGCTTGTATTTGACAAGGAGTAGTGTTACTGTCCAACCTCGTGGGTTCTCATTGAGTCTTACAGTTTCCTCCCACAGCTAAAGGTCCCTATGCACATGCGAATTATTGAAATAAAATTGAACCATATGTTAGTCCCGAAATAACCTAGATTGTCAAGTGGAGGTTAAACCCCATCTCTCTCTCTCTCTCTCTCTCTCTCTCTCTCTTATTGAGCTGTATACCAAATTAGAAACATTTTTTACTTGAAGGTTCGGAGAGTTTTACGACCGTATCATAAAGACCTGGCTGACGAGTTAGACTTGATTACTGATGATTATATGATAATCGACCCAGCAGAAGTCACAAAAAGTAAAGATGGCTGGTACAGTGGTTTGTCATGGGTCTCAGGAAATCAGGGCATGTTTCCAGGGTCTTTCACCAAAAAGACAGCAGAAACCTGGACGTGGACATTGCACAAGTAAATTTAATACAATTATTGATCTTTTAATCTCTCAGTAGTTTAATATTTTTTACTGTTTTGGTTACTCAGAAGCTCTGAAACAATAATTTTGTTTATTTAGATGTATAGTGTCAGAGTGAAGTGTTTGTTGATTGTTTGACATTATTTCAATATGTTTTACTTGAGCCGGAGAGAGGTTGGACTCCTTGCTCTCCCCCCTCCCCACCCCGGATCAATCTAACGATAATAAGGTAGGACACTACCATACAAAACGCTGTATACATCAATCTGTCAAATTTTGATATCAGGTAAAATTGCCCATTATAGTCAAAATTTGCTGAGTTTTCAAGTCGTGTTTAGCCTTTATATTATATAAGTGTTGAAAATTTAGTCATTTATAAAGGTAAATCATACTTTTAACTTGCATTTTTGTCTACTTTATTTTTCACCCATACCAGGTCTTAGAAAATCAAATTCTCAAAATCCAAGAGAGATAATGTTCTCATTTTTAGAATATGATTAATGCTATAGCTGCTGTGTGCAATAAGGTGATTTTCAAAGTGTTTGTTATACATTTCATTTGAACATTTTAGTGTACAAAATCTTGTTAATGGTTCGTTCGTCCACGCCCACTTGTTTTATTTGGGATATATAATTTTCTTTATTAACAGTCAAATAGTAAAATTTATGCCTTATTGCACTCTTTAATGTCTATAGATGTTATTCCAAACCACAAATAGTTTGTTTCAATAAAATTAATGAATATTTTGATTTCCTAATATACCCACCTTGAATATAAAAAATCCAATATGGCCTCCATTTCCATGGCAACCAATTAACATTTTACGCTCAAATTATCAAATCTGATTTGGGACATCATATACTAATATTATACTAAATGACAAGTTTCTGTTATCAATGTGAAATTCTTAGGTAGTGTCCTGCCTTGAAGACCTACTCTGCTCTGGAGATAAGATATAGGGTCAACTAATCAGTGTGTTTGAATTTCAGAGATATACCTATTGGTTATAAAATGTCAGAATCTAATCATGTTAATGGAGAATATGGTCAGTTGTGGGAGAGTAAGGCTGAACAAAAACCAGACTCAAAACAAGACCCAAAAGATCTTTATGCAAAGGTAATATTATACAAATTAATGTGAGCCTGATAAAGAAATGAAATGGGGTTTAACTTTTCTGCTCCAACCAGGTTGATGAAAATGGGTATATGCCATGCTGTTTCTTGCCTGGCGCTCTGTCCTGCTCCACTGACAAGGGTAAACCTCGCCAGAAAATCCTGAGGAACCCTGTCAAGCAACATAGGATAGGATCAAGCCCAAGTCCTCCAGGTTAGCGAGCCTGCGTCTTAGTCAATAAGTCACAGATAAAGAATTTTTGATTTACAGTCGACTGTGTTAGTCTGTTTATAAATGAAATGAAATGAAATGGAGTTTAACGTCCTACTGTTTTTCTCCTATACTGGGCTAATGGAGACGGGCATAGGCCATACAGTGTGCTATGAGGGAAATTTTGCCTGGGCAGCGGCACTACGCCTACTCTTATATCGAATTCCAACTGCCAAGGGATCTTTTACGTGCATTCTAATGTATACACGGGACCTCGGTTTTTCATCTCATCCGAAGGACTAGACAGCTGTCCTTGTCAGGCCTTCCGTCCTGCACCACTGACAAGGGGAAACCATGTCGGAAAATCCAGATAAACTTTCTCGGCCAATGCAGGGATCGAACACCCGACCTCAAGGCTAGCGAGTCAGCGTCTTAGCCACCGTGGCTCCAGTCTGTTTATAAATGTCATCCACTCCGACTATAGCTTTTAGAGTATCAATATGTGGTCAGCAGTGCTCAAATTGAATGCTGGTTTTCCTTTCCGCATGCTATTAATGGTATTCGGTTTTGGGACCATTTTCTATAAACTATAAATCTTTCAAATCAAAATATATCTACATTTATCAGTTGTATTAATTGATTAGTGGATCATTTAGGATTATTAGTTGATTAGTGGATCGTTTAGTAATATTAGTTGATTTGTTGATCATTTAGGAATATCAGTTGATTAGTTGATCTCAAATGACAAATAACATTCCAAATTCTGTGTTAGTATAAATAACCTCTATCTAAACATTAATTGCTTAAAATAACTTAATTAAATCATCCTGTTCATAATATCATATCAGAATGTATTGCGGGGAGGTCGGATGGCCCAATGGTTAGTGCGTGCGTGCGTGCTGTATCATATTGTCTGGATATACGTGACAAGGAGTAGGGTCACCTGTCCAACCTCCAGGTTTTTTTCCGTGTCATTGGACATTAAACCCAATTTCTCTCTCTGTCATAATGTATTGGACGTTAAATTTGTAATAAAAAAAAAGACACCCCCCTCTCCCCCCCCCCCCCCCACCCAAAAAAACCCCAACAAAACCATTAACTACCTCATTGGTCGTTACTCTTGACTCTTGTATTTTTAAAAGTTTCCATTGGCTACAAAGGACGAATATGCGACAACCTTTCTGGACTGCTCGAACAACTTAGCTGATGTGAGCCTATTTTTGGTTGCCTGACAACCTATCTTTTTATATTGAAGTTTTTGAAATTTTAAGCAAAACAGAATTCATGAGACACAAGTGGCCATTTATTATCCAGACCCCACAGAATTAATAATTAAGTTGCTTTGGCCTTATGGTAGCTGTACCTTTTCATGCAGTAATGACATATTCTATAATTACTATTTGAACAGGTATGTAAGATCAAAAAGAAACTACCACCTGCACCAAGACGTCTGTTTGTTATGAGACATGGAGAACGAGTAGATTTTTGTATTGGAAGAGACTGGATGGAAAAATGTTTTGATCAAGACGGTAAGGGTCTTTGAGGATCATATATTTATTGCTTACTATTAAAAAGGGGGATGGGTGGATTAATGGTTTAACGTTACATGTAAGATCATAAGGTCTGTCATTGAGTCAAGTGGCATGGTTTTGATTCCCTGCTTGTACATGATGTTGCCTGTTAAACCTCATGGGTTTTCTCTTGGTCTTCCAGTTTCCTACCATAACTAAAAATGACCTCTATGTGCAAGAAAATTATTATTGGTCCATATGTTAGTCTCAAAATGACTTAGTTTGTGTCAAGAGGATGTTAAACACCATTTTAATCTCTCTCTCACTTACTGTATGTTTTATTGTAGTTATAAATGGACGTTCTCTGTAGAAAATATTTTAAAATTTAATTAAACCATATATACAGGAAGTTTAGTTACCGATGTTTATCGCCTTTCAAAATCTTATCTTAGACAAATATGTCCATAATAATTAACTACTACAAACATGTTTCATCTAAATGACAATGTCGAGATATTTATATTAAGTTTGAGATTGGTGAAAAGAGACTAGGCCAGTATTTTTCAAGCTTACCAAATCGGGTAAAAGGAAATATGGCATTAAAACTAGCCTCTGATGGAATTTTTCTGTTAAAGTAAGAAATTAAAATGAAGCAAAGTATTGAAAAGGAAACCAGATTGCACTAGTCCAGTTTTTCTTCAAAGTTGACCCACAATTTATGTATCAATATGTGTACCTTTAAACTACACAAATATATATATTTTTATATTACTGAAATTTTTAATGCTACCGAGTTCAAGAGTCAGTTTTTACACTGGTGAAATGAAATGAAATGTGGTTTAAAGATACATTATGGGAGATAAGATAAAGAGACGGCAGTTCTCGCTATAATAGTTAAAAACTAGATAGTGTAAAGGTAATTTGCTGAAAATTTCAGTCAAATTGATCCACTATGAGCCGAGAAAGAAGCGGGTGAAATTTTAGCATAGTCTCGGTCATCATTACTAAAATCATTGATATAAACAGCTTAGTCTCGATTATCCACTTTTATTGATTTAATTATCAACGGCCGTTAGCGGCATATAGGAATCTAATCCAGCCAACATCAAAGGCTGGCCTTGACATTGAGAGTTTATTATGGTCTGGATAAGTTAATTAATGTCTAATTGATAATTTAGATAACATTTCAGGCCTAAAGAAAGACTTGTAATAAGCAGATTTTGCTCTTGCATAATGCATGTTTAACATCCTGCTTTTCTTCACCAAACAGCCTTATGAATATGTGCATGAGGGAAATTTTGCCTTGGCAGTGACATTTCTGCCTACTCATTGAATTCCAAGTTCCATGGGTTCTTCAATTTGTCCATGGGAACGTTTTTTGTTTTTGTTGTCTCCTCCATCCAGACACCACTGACAAGGGGACACCAGACACAATGTGACTTTCGCACCCAACACCGGGATTGAACTTTGAACCTGGTTACTCTCTGAACCACCATACATGTAGATCCCCCTTTATCAGTGAAATAGAGAGAGAAAGGGAGTTTAATGTCCACTCGACACAAACTAGGTCATTTCGGGACTAACATATGGTTTAATTTTATTTCAATAATTCGCTTGCGTGTAGGGGTCTTTAGCAGTGGGAGGAACCGGAGAAAACCCACGAGGTTGGACAGGCGACCCTACTCCTTGTCACGTACAACCGGGGATTCGAAACCACGCCCGTTGACCCAATGACAGGCCTTATGATACAGCGTGCACATGCTAACCATTCAGCCATCCAAACCCCCTTATCAGTGAAATAAAAAGTACCTTATTGTTTATATCTGAAGTGGTTGTATCCGGAAACAAGAGTATAGTTACCACTGGGTATTCACCATGTATCTTGTATTTAATGTTTTAGGAAAGTATAAACAAATTAACTTAAATCTACCACGAGTTCTGATGAAAAGACATTCACATCTAGAATATAATCGTGATGGTCCATTAACAGAGATTGGTAAATATCAAGCTAAATTAACAGGTACGTCACATTTTTATCTAATTAAAATCTAAGACTGTGACAAGTTAACGTCTTACTGAGAGTGCTGCCAATGTGTGGAAAGAATCTGTGTAAAGAACAAGCAATATTAGATCACAGTGATACGTTGGGGATGAAATTAAAGAAGTATAGGAAATATTCCCCAAGCAGCGAATTTAAAAAACTTTATTAGATGTAGAGTAGTTGATAAAGGTCAAAATGCCTAAAATGCGTCTTGGATTCAAACTACTGAAAGTACAGCAGATGGTTAGACGAATCGTGTACAGTGCAGGCATGATCGGATGTCAGTGATATGGTTGGAAGATTTAAAAAGTATAGGGAAGTAGAATAATTGATAACGGTCAAAATGCCTAAAACGAGTCCTGGATTAAAACTACTTCTAATAATATCGTCTTGTCAGGTTCATTGCTTGGCAAATATTACCTATACTTTTTTTTTGTTGAATTCTTATGATACGATTTTTACTGCGCTTGGATGCCCTGGACATGAATTCAATTGCCATATGAACCAATTGGCAGTGACAGTCAGTCAACCATTGATATCTACACCATAAACTCAGGACTTCATGCTTTCATTAAACAGATTGGTAGCCCAAATAAATTCTTTCCATCACATCCCAAAAATAACAGAAGATTTTCAAATTGATCCTTTGTTCGCATCACCTGTGAAAGAATAAGATATAATGTAAACTGATTGGAAAAAGTTTTATCAATAATCCTCAGGGGCGTACATAACGTTTTTGTTTGGGGGGGTGTTTAGCCAAAATGCGACCGACTGATGCACATACCCCAGTACGAGTGACACAGTCAGGAGCCGCGCACCACAGGCGCGAGTTTTCTAGGGGACTTGTGCAGAGCAGATCTAGAAGCTGGGAATAGGGGGTGGGGTGGGGGTGGTTCCAAATCTAGGGTGCCATCCACAATCCCACCCCACAATGAATGTCAACAAAATACTGGCTATAACATTAAGCGTCCCAATAGAACATACTTGTTCGCCGATGGTTGTCTCGTCGGAAAGCAGTTTTATTTAAGTTGACATAAAGTTTATGTCATATATGATTGTGCTTATAACACTGAGCAACCTGAGAAAATTTTGAAAAATTGAGTCAATATCCTAGCACTTGAGGTCATTGCTGGGGGAAAGTCTTGTGGATGAGAGGACCAGAAATGTGAGCCAATGGGACAGAATCTCGAGATCTCCCCCTGTCAATTCCGCCTGTTTTGCAAGAGTTGACATAACATTTGTATAGTCTGACGCCCCACGACCCACACACCAGTATAACTGGGTAGTTCACTATAACCGTGAATATGATAGTGCCGAGACAGTATAAGAAAACAGAGGAATAGAAGAATGTTGCTACAACGGAATCGAGCGCCGCAGGTGCGAAAAATTTTCAGATATGTAACCGGGCTTTTAATTTTTCGGGACTGGGCCTGAAAATTTTAGTCATTGTCATGGCAAATGGATCCAAATTCTCGCTAACGAGAGAATAAGAAATGAGACAGAATCTTGTGGCCTATCTGTCAATTTCGCCTGTTTTGTAATTGTTTGTTTACCTCATTAATTCATTTAGTCTGAGACCGACTGCGGTGAGTACTTTTTTTGAGACCGACTATTTTTTTACCATGGGGGAAAAAAATTTCATAGAACAACATACTCACAACAGCATAAGAGTGATAAACATTTTTTCAAACATGACAAGCAGACATAGTTATTTTATACTATAGTTTTGTGTGACGTTTGCAATTTAGGCTCACAGATTGACGCAAATACAGAGTATTTGGGATCTATTCTGGCATTGTTTGTTTACCTCATTAATTCATTGAGTCGCCGATGCATAATTTTGAGACCGACTGCAGTGACTGCACTTATTTTGAGACCGACTATTTTTCTCCCTGGGTGAAATTTTGTTCATAGACCAACAGAATAAGAGTGAAACACGGCATTTTTTCAAACATGATAAGTTGACATGGTTATTATATACTAAACAGAATAACAGTGAAACACAGCTTTTGACAAGGTTATTTTATACTAAAGTTTTGCGTGAGTAGTGTGACGTATGCAGTGTGCACTTATTTTGATACCGACTGCTCTTATTTTGTGACCGACTGCACTGATTTTGCGACCGACTATTTTTCTTCCTGGGGGGGTGTACCACCCCCACACACCCCCCCCACATTTACGTCCCTGATAATCCTTCTTACATTACACAACTATTATTGATAAAACTGGCATTGTCTTTATGAGGACTTTCACTTCAAATTTAATTATTTCAATGCAATACATTTATCTCATCATGTTGTTTATAGTAATGTATGATTATCCAGTATCATTTATCAGGGTTGCATGCTTGAAAAGTAAGCTTACTGTAACCTTCAAGTCTCATTGAAGAAATTTGAAATAGGTTTATCTCCAAAAGATCTCGGTTCCTTTCGATATTGGCATGTATCCGATCGAAACTTCATGGATTATGGCCCCTGATTGGACGAAAAATTGCATTTTTAGCTTGTGGTCCTCCTAAAGGTCACAATTTTTATCCAATTTATAAAACGTTGCACCTTAATGAACGTTGATTTCAAATTTCGTGAAAAACGGCCCGAAACTGATGGACAAAATGTCCGCTCCATGTACGTAAATAGTGTTAACGTAGGTACATATAATATCAAAATTGTGGAACCTCTAGAGGTCATAGTTTTGATTTGATTTTGATGAAACTTAGAGCATGTATTTATGCCCCAAAGATCTCAGTTCCTTTCAATATTTGTGCATATCGGACTGTAAGTTCCTGGGTTATGGCCGATGATTTTAGCTTGTTTTCTGTCCATCTCTTGCAAAGTGTGGGCATATCTTGCATGGCAACCATTGTTAGATGACACAAGAGTATCTGACAACCAGAATATTTTTTTTTTTTTTCATTGCCTAAATTGACTGACAGGTCAGTCCGTCAATAAAATAAGTTTGACAAATGAAACTGAAACAGGATCCACGCTCTCAATTAAACCTAATTATCACTCCTTTATTTTGTTCCAGGCGAGGCTTTAAAGAATGAAAATGTTGTTATATCCCATGTATTTGCATCACCAGCTTTACGATGTGTACAAACAGCTCAAGCTGTAATAGAGGGTATGTAGTATGTTAAAGGGGAGCAACTCCATTTTTAGTCGTTTATTTATTTAGATCTAGATACAAACTGATTTTTTATAAAAAGAATTATTATTTATTGCATAAGAACACCTTTTTGAATTTCCACTGGTGGATAGTCATTATTTCAGATTTGAAGGATGCACATCTAATTCTCCTTTTGATTTCCAAGCTTGCAAAAAGATTCTGGTCCACTGAATTAAAAGCTTATACCATCTGCGCTAAATTATCACATTAAATCAGTATAGCCTTAGGCCACCTAAAAAGAAAATCTGTAAGTTACTCAGACCATTGACTTTGAAATTTCCGCAATGCTGAAAAATAAAAACTTATCTAAAATATACCAAATATTTCTGTTTTCCAGAAAGTTATGGTTTGTAACAGACTAGTTAAGTGTGAGAGAGTTTTGATTTGTACAAACTATTTCAAAACATGTATTATTTTCAATATTCTAGGTTTAGGAATAGATATTAAGATGTCTATAGAGCCGTCGTTGTTTGAATGGTTAGGATGGTATCAACCCATTTGTCCACAGTGGATTTCTCCAGAAGATTTCTCTAAAAATGGTTACTCGGTAAACACAGCATACGCAGCTTATTTAACTGTTAAAAATTTAAATATGGATGAAACTGTGGAAGAGTGCTATAATAGAGGAGCCAACTTTTCTCGATTTGTTATTAAAAAATTTCCATCTGAAAGTGAGTTGCTTAATTGTATTTAATTTGTTAATTTATATGGTATTACTGTAAAGCCAGAACACTTTACAGATAAAGAATGAGATCATGAGGACTCGCCATTTGGTATATGATTGAAGTACGGTATTGTAGAAATGAAATGAAATAGGTCTTCCTTGTCTGCTCTAACTGGGTGTACTTTGCTATGATTGCAATTTTCCCCTGACAATGGCGTTACATACTCATCGTCCGCACATTGCCTTCAAGTAGGATATTTATGTACTGCTACCAGCAAGGTATTAAGATTCATAACCAGAAGTATCGAATCAGATAACATAATATGATGTCATAAACCAACCATGAAGCCGCTGTCCGGGCAAAATTTCCCTCATAGCACACTGTATGGCGTATGCTCGTCTTCATTAGCCCAGGTTAGGAGCAGAACAGTAGGACGTTAAACTCCATTTCATTTCATTTCACCAACCATGAAATGCAGCCATTTTGATAAGGGGAGTAACTCTATTTACAGATACCTTGAATTAAGATATATGACATGCTATTATTGCCAAGAATTCTACCCAATATTATTTTTCAATGATATTTTCCAGAGTTATGCACCTTTATGACAATACTTTGTTTATACCCTTACTCAATGAGCTAGTTGTAGCTGACAAACTATCAGGCACTAATGAATTAGGACGTCATGACATTCTTAAAGATACATTATGTAAGATTTAGATAAAGAGCTGGCCGTTCTTTCCGTAATAGTTCAAAAATAGAAAATGCAAAATAAATAGATTGAAAATTTCATTCAAAATACTTTATTATGAGCCAGGTTATCTCCATTTCTAGTTTTGACAAGATGTGGGCTTTCTCTGCTTAGGATAAGCAGAGATAAGCAATTTGATTGGTTGATGCTTTGGGATTCGATAACTCTAGTTCTAATGAAGTGAAAGTGATGAAACTTGGTGTATAGTTTCATTACATCAATATCTTGACAAAGTTCGATAATGAATTTGATTTGAAAAAGATAAATGATTGTCAATTAATTAAAATGTGTCATCTGTTTATTTTGGGATTTCGGCAGGTGACATTAGCCTCACTGTTGACTTGTTAACAATTGCTATAACATTTAAGGCCTAAAGAATGACCTGCAATAGATAAATTAAGCTCTTGTATAATGTATCTGCAAAACGACTTCTGTGCCAGACAAAATGACTGGCAACAAAATGGTTGTGCCTGACAAAATGATTATGCCTGACAAAATGGTTGTGCCTGACAAAGCCTGAATTTGTGCCTGACAATATCTGTGACATGTTCCTTATTTCCAGGCTTGCAATGGGTTCATGATTAACAACGGATCTTTAAGAATTTTTTACTGGGTATATAGGGTTGTTGAACTTGGTGAAAAGGATCACGTTTTGATTTGTACGACATTTATCTCCTACTTTCATTTTCAGGTGGAAATATTTTATTTGTTGGTCATGCTGGGAGTCTAGATATATGTACAAGACAAATATGTGGCCGGGCACCAAGAGGAACTACAGATTTCCACTCTCATCTTTCTAGTATACCTTATTGTGGTATTTGTATGTGTCAAGAAGAACCAACATCAAAGAAATGGGCCTTAGTGGATTGCCCTGTTAAACCCCTCAACCATTCTGCCAATAAATCCTTCAACTGGAAAACTGTTCTAACCAATCATATGGCAGCGGTTTAAAGAAAACTTATGGGGTTTTTATCATGAAGAAATTATCTTGAGAATGAAAACCGAATTAAAGTTTGAATCCCTTACAAAAGTTGAATCTCTAAAAAAACAAGATTTTGAGAATTACTGAATACTTTGGAGACTGCATGGAGCAAATAATTTAGTTCAAACACTAGAACACTTATATATTATTTAATATTTCTCAGTGTTCTACTTTACCTAGTTACTAAATATAATAAAAATATGTCAAGTTAATGTTCCCCAAAATATGCTTCTTTTTTTAAAAAAAAAAAAAAAATATGTACATTTGTGTAAAAAGTCTTTAGAAATTATTGTTACAAAATGTCCTCCTTTCTCTCTAGCTTAGCCTATCGAATAAGAGTTTTATATGATCATTGTTGTTACAGTATGCAAAAGATTTCTACCTCAATTTAGGAGACATTTTTTTCTGCTTTTTTATTTTGGAGGTGATGTGAGAAATGAGAGGTGAATATGACATTTAACTTGTATTTTGTTTTAAACCCAAATGGATTGTTTTGAGATTCTGCATGTTTAAACCTGAGTGCATTGTTTTGAGACCTTGCAGAGTTAACTCTGAATGCATTATTTTGAGACTCTGCATGGTTGACTCCAAATGCATTGGTTTGCGACTCTGTAGGGTAAACTCCAATCTGTACATAAGAGTTAAAGAAAATACACTTTTTAAACTAATTTATTTTGAAATTTAACCAAATATTATGATTACTGTAATAGTGTAATATATATTTTATACCGGTACTTAATTGTATCTTGCTATAGGAACAAAATGTCTAAACAGCGTGTCTTTCAAATTATACATACTAAAATTTATGTGTGTATTTAAAGATACATTATGTAAGATTTAGATAAAGAGCTAGCCATTCTTTCTATAATAGTTCGAAAATAGATAATGTAAAATGAATAATTTGAAAATTTCATTCAAATTACTATATTGCGAGCGAAGATATTAGGATATGAAGGTTTGACAAGGCGTGTGCAATAATTTCAACTACCGTACTGGTTGTTCGAAGCTAAATCTCGCTCCTCCATTTTTAGCTTAAATTAAAATATGGCTGAACTGTTCTAATCTATTTAACATCGGAGAAATCTTATGCCATCGACAGTTGATTATGGCCTGGATAAGATAATTAATGTCTAATTAGTAATTTAGAAAACATTTCAGGCCTAAAGAAAGACCTGCAATAGTCAGATTTAGCTATTGCATAATGTATGTTTAAGTTTTTCCCGATATGATTAAGAAACATGCATGTACTATCCTAAGAGGATACAGTACTCGATGAAACAATCTGATTAAAACATGGATCCTATTTTGTTTCGCTTTTTATAGTTCAAAATTTCGTTTTACTTGTCTTTACTACACTAATATCTGGAAGAGTTGTTTATATTACTGGCATTTTGGTTGAAGTGAGGGATAAGGCAACGAAACGTCTGTTAAAGCGACTCCTTGGTGTACGACCTTCGAGTACAACTTGTCAGATCTTCATGTAATATAGGCCATCGAAAGTATCAAAATATATATCTCAATTCTTCAAAAGGTGTGATATAATCTTGACTAATTGCTATACCTGAAACATTTGATCATGTCTCACACCACATCGTCATATGATTCAATTTCGGAGCAGTTGATTGCAATTCAGAACATTCTGGGCGAACAATCGAGTTTTCCCATAATAAAGAAACATTCAGCCATATTGGTTAAAGAAGTCCATCCGTATCAGATTCTTTATATTTTATGTATTATCTAATATTCAAATACTTTCCAGTTTCCACCATGCTCAACCTTAACTGCAAATCATTTCATTGCTCAAATTTTATTAATTCAATTGATTTACTCAATCCATAAAATTTGATTAATTCAATTGATTGACGCTGTTGATTTAGAAATAGGAGAACTTAGAAGTAAAGAACAGTTAAAACTGTATGATTTTCAAATTTCTTTTTTTGTTTAAATATTTAGATATCTTCCAAATGCTTGCCAAACCTTTCATTAATTTAATTGAATTATTTGATTCATTAATTTGATTGAATTATTTGATTCATTAATTTGATTGAATTATTTGATTCATTAATTTCATTGAATTATTTGATTCATTAATTTGATTGAATTATTTGATTCATTAATTTGATTGAATTATTTGATTCATTATTTGATTGAATTATTTGATTCATTAATTTGATTGAATTATTTGATTCATTAATTTGATTGAATTATTTGATTCATTAATTTGATTGAATTATTTGATTCATTAATTTGATTGAATTATTTGATTCATTAATTTGATTGATTCAGATCTATATTTTCAATTGATTGATTTTAATATATTTCATTTAGCATTTGAAGAACTAAGATGTGGAACATCAAATGCTCAGATAGAATTTGATAAAATATCCACAACTGAAAAGTCTGAAAGAATGTTTAGTAGAACAACAATATTTCAAAGATGTAATATAATTTGTTATGTTTGATACAGTTATTTATTCTAAGATAGTTTACATTGTCATCGCTACAGTTTGTCCAAAATTTATTTGGTCATATTTATTGATGTTAATATTTCCCTGTTATTGTATATTCCTGATGCAAAACAGTAAGGCCTTATTTCCACTGGCACCAATTAAATGTAATTCAGATTCCTTCAAATGGCACCTCTCTCGGAAAACTGATATATCCTTTAAAGATAGATGCATTTCATTTAATCACCATTAAGGCACATGTTAGTCAATTACTACATAGCTGTAGGCATTCAGCTGTGTAATAGCAGTTTTAGGAAACATATTAAATTGTGTAGGATTCTATCAAAATGTTCTTTGTTCTAGTGGTTTTACTTTAATTTTATTTCATTGCCTTGATGCCAGTGGTTATTGAGCTTAAGTTTTTGGAAATATCAGTTTCATATTTTTGTACTTTGATACCTGTGGCTTTATGCAGATGTGATTATATAAATTATTACACAAACAAGATTCTAATACAAATAATTCTGTGAATTATTATTTATATGAATATATCTATTTATCAAGTGCTATATGAATTGTAAAAGGTAATTATTAAAGATACATTATGTAAGACTTAGATAAAGAGCTGGTTGTTCTTGCTACAGTTGAAAAATAGATATTGGAAAATGAATATATTGAAAATTTCATTTAAATTACCTTATTTGGATCAAAGTTATGGGTGTTGGAAGATGTTGTGCAGATTGTTTATTATCGTTGCAGTGTTACTTGTTAATCGAGACTCAGCCTCGCTTTTCCATATTTTAATTAAATCATTTAATGGCGACCATCTTCCAATCTGTTTAAATCTCCACCATCTAGAGAGTTGATTCTAGGCTTGTCATGTGAATAAATGTCTAAATAATAATTTATATAACATTTGAAGTCAAGGTAAAAACCTGCAATGGCCAGATTTAGATCTTACATAATGCATCTTTAATTTAAATAAACATAAATTATTTATGAATGATTTCAATCAAAAGCACACATATTGTTTATATTTCATTGTTTGTTATTGTTATTGTTCATAAGAAAGTGTTTGTTATGCTATGAATTTCTCAATCTTTGTTACTGATTTTTATTTTTTATGCAAATTTGTACATATTGTTTAATTTAAAGATGTAGCTGATTTATAACTATAATTTAGTAAATCGTAACATTACTACATTCTACTTTAATCTAATTAAAAATTTGATCTGACTACTCCGTGTGAACTCTCTGTCAAGCCTTATTTTAGCCACTGTAAAATTATTCTATCTAACCCAAATAATTTGCTTTCTGATTTAGTGTAAACAGCTTAAAATTGAAAAGAAAATCCTCCTTTAACAGATAAGGGGGTTCTGTCTGGGCCCGATTAAGCTTGCATGGGACCCTTGGCTGAAATGTCACTGGGTCCCTTGCAACAACAGTGACAAAGAGGCATATTCTGGTCATTGTTCTGCAATTTGTATGTCAGTATGGTAGAAGATAGATTTATTTGGCACAATCATATACAACATAAATGAAATAATAAATTACTTTTTATTTTAAGATACCTAATTTGTCCCTTTAAATTGGGCCTGCTGTATACTAGCCATTATCCCCGGGTTCTGTTAATGTTGATAATTTTAAATCTTTTGTCATAAATATATATGTTACCACACAGGTAAACAGGAGAGGTATATTTTTTTTAAAAATCTAAATGTATTTTTAGAGGATTAAAAAATACAAAAAACAACTTTTGATGTTAATAAAAACATTTTTGTGGCTACAATTTAAAGTCCCAGTAACCCCATTATCACTTTCAGCAAGAAAAGAAATGTTCAAAGTTTGTGAGTTAAATTATAAAATTAAAAACATGTATAATACAAACTGTTTATCAGAAGTAAATGAAATATTTAAATGGGGTCTTACTCACAAAAAAACTCAAGCTAAAGTATTGAAATAATTTAGACCTTTCATTGGCCAAGAGCTAAACTTTGTACTATCATTGTTTTTAAACCTTAACAAATAAAAAGTCTGCATCTTTAAAATATGTTAGTTGAGTTTTTCGTGAATTAGATCCCTTGGCCCACTGGGACTTTAAGATAACAATATTTCTTTTATATCATAGTTTTGTTTATTACCAATAGAATAAATGCTTGGCTTTATTACCTTCCGACCATTAGTTCCTACAAAAAGTAAAACGATTATTTTGTGGAAGCCTACACATGTTCTCAATTGTACTAATTTCCCTTTCCGCTCCCCCCATTCCATCTCTCAAATAACTTAAAGGACCTAAGTCCGTAACTCAAAATCCTCCAAAATCTTCGACATCGAAAACACGAATTATTGGTCAATTTAAATCAACATTGATGATGTAAACTTACCGGGAAAAGATGAGCTTCTGATATCCGATATTTAAAATAAAATAATTTTTTTAACATTGGTACACGATAATGCGCTTCAGCCCCAGTTGTATTGAGAGACTCGAGGGACGAGGCTAGACATATTGCACCAAATCAAATGGAGTTATGTAGACTAGAATAACTAGACGCTAGAAATTTGCACTCGATTGAGATTGCTGACTTATTTCGCCGAACATAACTGATTTGAAATTGGAGTAAAAATGGAAACCATTAAATGTAAATCAGTTTATATACATTCATATTACAGTATTATATGCGTTGCGACCCACTTTTGTGAATTTCTAGGTCCCAAATGTTAGCGATTTAGCTCCTTTAAGTCAATAGTATCCCAAGCTGTCATCTATGCGATCTATTAGTACTTATGAATTTATTATTTAATACGAATTGTTTGTTATATTTCGATTTCCATTTGTCTGATAGCGATTTGTATTATAAATGTCATAAATTATGTTAAGCCAATACTATTGTTTATGATGTGGCGAAATCGTTTCAGTTGAAAATAAATATGCAAACTCCTGCTTTGAATGTACTATCATTTTCTCGAAGAAAATAAATTTCAAATCTAGAATCCAAACTCCATCTGCAAGTAACATCAGAAACTCGGAGCCGCCGAGAGTGGCGGTAGGATCCAGGCACAAAAATCGCACCTGGATCCCAGGTCTAGAGTTATTTAGGTTATTAGTGTATTTGGTTTCTTCGATAGTGGTTTGACAATGGTGATTTTTTTTTAACTGGCTTACATTACCTTGAATAATTGATGTATTAACAATGCGTGTAATTATTGGTAAGAGTTCATTTATATTAAAGATACATTATGGGAGATTCGATAATAGTTAAAAACTAGATAATGTAAAGGCAATTTGCTGTAAATTTCATTCAAATTGATCCAGTATGAACCGAGAACTAAGCCGTTGAAATTCCCGCCTAGCCTCGGCCATCATTACTAAAGTCAGTACGATAAACAGCATAGTCTCGATTATCCATTTAATCGTTAAATCGTGAAGGAAAGTTATGCAGTAAATCGGCTCACAATCCACTAAAGATCGCAGGCTAGCGATGCCATCTAGAGTTGATTATGGTCTTGATAAGTTAATTAATGTCTAATTAATAATTTAGATAACATTTCAGGCCTAAAGAAAGAACTGCAATAGACAGATTTAGCTCTTGCATAATGTATGTTTAAGTAAACGTGTTAGTGAGTTAGTGCTAAATGATAAAGCCAGCTAAATTTTTCGTCATAGGTCACGAGATATAAACATGGCTAGGGCTAATCTCACTTCAACCAACCAAATCATGACATTTCTGATCCCATTGTGTCATGGAGTCAACTGACGTGGTTTCCATTCCCCGGTTGTACGTGACGAGGAGTAGGGTCGCCTGTTCAACCTCGTGGTTTTTCTCCGGGTCCTCCGATTTCCTCCCACTGGTAAAGACGCATACACGCAAGCGAATTATTGAAATAAAACTGAACCATATGTTAGTCCCGAAATGACTTAGTTTGTGTCGAGTGAACGTTAAACTCTCTCTCTCTCTCTAATCCCATTGTCACGCCAATAGAAAAGAGTAAGAGCGACTTTTTCAAATTGAATTAAAACACTTAGGCTAATAAGCGAAAGATTCTGGATTGACAAATTGAAAACAACAGTCCCCCCAAACACCTCGCAGTGTTTTCTTTGATTAGAGCTAATCCCACTTAAAGAGACAATAACACTCTTGCTGGCTTGAAAGCTCCAGAAAATAAATAATATCTGAATCTAAGTACTAGATGGTTAAGTGTCCTACCTGTTGTGTAAATTATCCATTACATCCTATTTTAATTGTCCAGAGGGTTCGCAAATATTTTTAAATCGAAGTTTCATTTGAAAAGGTTTACGTTAGACGTTTCAAACCATTATGTTGAATTTTTCAAAATTTTTAAATAAGGTGTGTTAAGTTGAAATTTGTATCATCAATTAATTGAAATATTCTAAAATAGTACAATTTGTTGACCAGAATAAAGATTGGGACATATTATTCAGTTACATCAAGAGTGGTATTGAGCCTTTAACACTGCTGTTGAGGAAGCAAATTTATGTTCCAAATTATGACTGGTCCGATTAACAACTAATAGCTAACTGCGTAACAACATCATTACGCTTTAAGAGCTCAAAATTGGACCAAATATGTTTACATAACGTTACGTCATGACTCACAATTTTATTATGCCCAATTAATCAGAAGAGGTTATCAACACGGATACAATGTAAACAATATTGTTCAGAGACGAACAATACTTTCACCGTTTTTAATACCTTAAATCACTGTTTTAGGGAAGACCCCAGATTAAACGAAAGGCTGTCATGTTGCTGTTCTTGGGATAGATTTGATTGAACGGGAAGAATAGAAACACTCACTCAAAAGCTCAAGTATCAGAAGCCAATCCAGCAATGGCCAGAGAGGTACTTCTCGGGCCATTGCTTCAGAAATATGCAGTCCCCCTAGGTTTGAATATCCATACGGCTGACGCAATAGCTTCTTTTGTGTAGTCCCTTTTAGCGCAACAGCAGCAAGTAGATCCAAAATCATCAGAAAACACTATAATGATCTCCAGGAAAATCACCCGAAAATCTTCACACAGAAACTTATAATTACATATTCTAAAAAATTATTCGGTCATAAAATAATGTTTTTTGTCACTACTAGTGCATGTTTATCAAGAATGTTTGGTAGTACTGCATTATAAAGTGTAATCTGATCATCAACACCAGGAACTCGCTGGACACAATCTAAAAGTTTACTATACTTGTTATCGATGTCTTAAAATCTTCAATGTTCAATGTTTTTGTTTTTGTATTGCGATAGGAAATTAAAGTTCGAGTTGGTTTTGGTTAGTAAAAATTCAGTTCACCAATAACGGAATAGAGATCTGAGATTAGATTATATTCAACCTTCAAACATTTGATCAAGCCACTGTTGGCGCAGTTATCACTAAATCTAGAATGTGACCACCCTTGTGTGGTGTTTTTAGAAACAAACAACCTCGGATGAATTTGATTTTGGTGCACAATGTGAACGCTTTAACGGATTTATTTTCAAATTTATTTGAAGCATTTGGGTCATGGTGAGAAGACCAACACTATCGATATCAGGTTTCCACGAACTTTCGTCCCAGAGTTATGCCCCCTTAGCTGAAAACTCTGTGACTGCGATATTTTCAAATTTATTTGAAGCCTTCGGGTCATGATGAGAAGACCAACCCTATCGATAATCAGGTTTCCACGAACTTTCGTTCCAGAGTTATGCCCCTTAGCTGAAAACTTTGTGACTTCCATAGAGGGGATAGAGGCTACAGTTTTTAACAGATCGTTTTCAAATTTGGTGTGAATTTCAGATAGCCTTATGAAAGTGTCAACTCACTACAGATAAAAGATGGTGGAATAAGGAATACTGGGATTTCAGTGAGCAGATGGCACGACAGTTGGGTCATAATTGTTGACAATTTTAACCGGACATTTTGAGTAGAGAGATCACGACCTGATACCATTCAGCCACCATATGTATCAGTGTAAATGGCATTTATATACCTTCTACAGCTTAATAACTTCAGCAAATAAGAAAATAAAGACCTCCCACCCAGGGCCCGAGACTGCCCCCCCCCCCCGAGATTTAACACAACACAACTATGTCTTAGTTTTAGTAATGTAATACTAATCAGATGTACACGATTTTGACAACAAATTATAAGCAAGAAAACAAATGGAAAAACAAAGACCGTGACTATCAGACGTCAAAATATCAACAAAAAAAAATTGTTCATCACATAAACTATTCGTTTATTTTTTCAATACCCAAAATTATGTTGAACGGGATTCAAACGGAAGGAAGCTCGGAAACCCTGACGTTGACTAGAGCCTCAAGCGGAACTAGGACTGACAGAATCCGATTCTAACACTGGCCTCCGCTACTTACCCACATTCAGAAAAATCACCGGTTTTCTTCTACTTTACGATAAAGTAACAGTGCATAGTTGTTGGTTTTTTTTATTAATTTATACAAGCATTTATTTTAATAAAAAAATCATTACTCGGCATACCTCTGGGCCCCTCTAGGCCCCTGACCCCTGGACAAGTATCCCAGCTGCCCCCTCCTCTCATGGGCCCTGCTCCCACCCCACCAAGGCATAGATGCCACATTGGTTTCAAAAGGAAAATATCGACACGAAAAGATCAATTAGTTGGCTGTAGGGCTTCTGGACGAAATATTCACCGGTCAATTAGAGCAGTCATATATTTTATTCCAAGATAGAAGATGCATATAAGGTTTTGTATATTCCATTTAAATTAATATTTTTATATTTTAGAATGTTAACTATAGGGATCACGTAGATCAACCAAGTGTTCGGAAGGTTTCTTCACACGTAGAATAATTCAAACAATTGAAGTTATTTAAAATCTTCACTTCCTTTTTCTCGCACATCTGTGGGACAACTGTACAAGAGTTGCCTTTGCAGTTACTTTGTTTGAATCCACATTGATAATGGCGGACAATTTTGAGCATAAGCCGTCCCCAGCATTTATGATTGGACATAAAGCCATACAGTCTGTTTCTGTAGCTGTAGCATTTCGGTACAGATCCATCGCATCTCGCATCTCTAAGATCACTGGCAATATCTCGAACGCAGTCACAATGAGGTAATGCCTTATTGGGAGTCTCCATTCCACAGTGATGACAAACTGTGAATCTCGCACACGCCTGGTCAATGTTGTCTATCCCAGGCTTACATGTGAAATTCCTAAAAAGGAATAAGAAAAACATTACGGCACAATAATCGAGACTAAATGACGAATAATGACAATCAAACAATACACAAAACAATGAGATAATGCCTGATTAGGATTGTACATCCCAAATTAGGAGGCCATGGTGGTTCAGTGAGTAAGAGGTTGGCTCGCTAACCTGGGTCCTGTTTCACGAAATTTTAACTAAGATATAATCCAAATTTTAGTAATTTGATTGGATAATTTTAGATTGATTTGTGTGCTTAGCCAATTAAAATTGAAATATCTACTAAAAATGGATTTTATCTTTAGTTAAGATTTCGAGAAACAGGGCCCTGGATGTTCCGTGTTGGAGCTCTAAGTTGTCAGAAATAGTTCACCGGAATTCTCCCCCTTGTCAGTGGTAGTCTACATGACAGAGGGCAGGGGCGTAAATTTTTACTTGTTACATATTTAATCCCAATAGAAATTAAAACGTATTTTACTCATGTTGTAAGTATTTTCTGACCATCAGAATTCTGCAAAAATTATTCCCCAGACCCCAAAGTCCAGTAAATTGCATTTCAGAGACTCAAGTAAGCGCCCCCGTGAGACAAAGTCCCCTAAGGCCCAGCGCCCAAAAATTAAAAGCTCAGTTACATAATCTAAAATTTTTTCGCGCCTATGGCGCTCAATTTCATATTATGTTATTATTCTTCAACTTGTAAATCTCATCACTATCATATTCACAGCTACAGTGAATCGCCTAGTTGGTAGTACCATTAGTGAGTGGAGCGACAGACTAGAATTGTTATTTCTGCTCTCACAAAACAGGCGAAATTGACGGACGGACCTCAAGATTCTGTCCCATCAATGCCAAACCAAGGTCATGGGTTTTACTCCACATGTTTTGAGTGCAGTGAAAATTTCAGCATTCGAGAACTCTTCCTGGAAGACACAACAAAGTGCAGCAATCTCGAATTCACAGGAGCAATCACGTCTTACAAAGTCACCAACTCAGCTGTTGTTCACCTTTTGTTGCAAGACCTGATGAACTAATGACGCGCCTCCAGTACTGGCATATTTGTCGTGTTGTACGTATACGTGTTTTTAACAAACAGAACTTGTGGGGTGTCTTTTGATGATGTGAGATATTCTATTTGTATTAAACCGCCCATAGTGTTGATTTGAGAAGTCAAGTCAAATGTTCAATTCATTCATTCATTCATTATACTTACAAACATGGTGCTAGCTGGCAAGTAGGGCAACAGCCACCCCACGGCGCATGAGTCCAACTACCACACCAATTACCATAGGTGTTCAAACTAAATCTCTTCACTCGTGAATCTGTACCTATATTTTATAAAAAAAAAATTAGATTTAAGGTCTATTGATGCTAATGATTAGGTCTTGACATAATAAATATATAGACTGAAAGTGGTCAGTGCAATTTAATTTTATCACCGTTTCTAAAAATGCAATTAGTTGCATGTTACATTCTTAATACGGTTTTACGCGTTCGATTTAATGATTCGTATTGGGAGATGCTAATTGTAGGCCGGGTTGGGAGGTTCGGGAATCTCCACAATGGCCGCTTTAAATAAATGAGTATTTTGGAGAATACTAACCCTAACCCTTTTTAGAAGACTTTCCATGGGTGAAAACACCTAATATTTCCGAAAAAGGATTAAGAGAAGAGAGACAGGTAACAATTCAAACGTATTCTAGCTAGCCGAGTGGGACGAGGCAGGACTGATTCTTAAAACAATAGTAGTCTTCTTGAGACTGAGTCTAACTTGTCTGCTCCCGCTGGGGTAATGAAGACGGGCATGCGCCATGCAGTGTGCTATGAGGGCACAAGACCTCGGTTTTTCACCCCATCCGAACCACTACACGTCGTCCATTTTAAAATCCATAACAAAATCATACTGCTCAGATAGCCAAGAATTGTTTAGAAAAGTGTGATTATGCGAGAACCAGATACATTAATGAGGAATAGGGATAATGCAAATTTATATAGAATTGAGAAAGGAATCGGTAAAGAATATACTAGGCTAACAATAATAATATCGTAAACAGTCCACAGAAATGTATGCATACACACGTCCATCTTGATCATGATCTCATTAGCCCAATCTGGACAGAACAGTAGGACCTTAAACCCCACTTCATATCATTTCCATCTTTTATCCGACATTGCGTGAAGACAATTAAAAATTCGCCGTCTCCCATCAGCAGTATCCGCGCCTGCATTATGAAAAATCATTAGTAGATATGAAATTTGATAACACTGTCCGTGAACATACGCTGTTCGACCAAGACACTTATGGAAGACCAAGCAGCTCTTTATTCACCGAACCGGAACATTATGACGACATGAGTGGAAATGGTGACTTATTGTATGCCGCCAGGTTGATTACATAATGTTCCGGTTGGATGAATTTTGAGAAAAGTTTTTGGAGAAATGTTTTGTAAGATTTGAATTTGGAGATTTGTTGGAAATTTGTTCGAGATTTGTTTTTCGTTGTATGTCTCTGATGAAATGTAAATGTAGGCTATTTTTTTTTATTTTCTAAAATAAATTTTATATTTATATTAAACTACAATTAAATTTTAAAAAATACAATTTACAAATCTGATATGAAAAATGTCTGATTTGTAAAACAAATATTGATTTTTAAATACAAATGTTAATTTTAGAGTACAAATGTCGAAATACGGCAACAAATGAAGAAATAAGGACAATGAATTAAGAACTGAGAATTAAGAACGCTGAATAAAGAGCTGTTTGGTTTTCCATATACACTAACATATTTGGGTTAAGATAACATAGGGTATATAGATGTTGATGTATACAGTATTCGGTTATACGACTTGCTGAACGTTGAGGATTACCGTCAATACTGTCAAAAAATCTTTGTAGACAATACGCTTGACCCAGAGCACCACCGTAAGTTATATATTTGTATCTTTACAACTAGGTGTGTGTGTGTACGTTAAATGAACAAAATGAGTTTAATCTTTATTAAGTCCGTGTAGCCGTTATTAAGTCCGTGTAGCCGTTTCCTTAGTTATCCTGGCAAGGAACAACATTTAGTCGTTCGGATGGGACGAAAACCCGAAGTCCCGTGTACAAATTGACGTGCACGTAAAAGATCCCTTGGCAGTTGGAAGTCGATATACGAGTAGGCCGAAGCACCGCTGTCCGAACCAAATTTTCCTTATAGCACACTGTATGGCATATGCCCGTCTTCATTAGCCCAGTTAGAGCAGAACAGTAGGACGTTAAACACCGGCCATTTCTTATCATTTTCTTAGTTACTCCTTACATATTTCACAAATGAGAACGGTTCTGGCACAAGACATATTACGGGTCTCATCATGTAATGTAATGCTGGAGCAGTGACAATGACGAGGTCATCTTCTCGGACAGTGGTTTTATGCAGTCTTATTAGGGTGAACACATTTATGAAACCTTCGCTAACCAAAGTAACTGATATTATAGGCAAAGAGAATGTCAGCGCCTTTTAATCCTACTCTGCCGTCTCTGCCTTAACATTATCATATTTTAAAGGAGCTAAATCGCTAATATTTGGAACCTCTATAGGAATTGACACAAATGGGTCGCAACGCATATAATAATGTAATATGAATGTATATAAACTGATTTACATTCAATAGTTTCCGTTTTTACTCTAATTTCAAATCAGTTCTGTTCGGCGAAATACGCCAGAAGTCTCAATCGCATTGCAATCTATAGCGTCTGGTTGTTCCAGTCTACACCGATAGTATTTATTGCGCATGCTCTCCAGATAAGAATATGCCGTCACCGTTTGACATGACTTGTGAAATATGTCTAGCCTCGTTCTTCAAATCCCTTGTTACAAATGGCGCTGAAACGCATTATGGTACACGATTCGTTTAGCAATGGTAAAATGTTTATTTTGTCTTAAATATTGGATAGCAAAAGCCCATCTTTTCCCAGTAAGATCGTAACATCAATGTTGATTTAAATTGACAAATAATTCGTGTTTACAATGTCGAAGACTTTGGATGATACTGAGTTAGAGACTTAACTACTTTAAGTACGCCTAGAGCATAGATTAAATAATCTATTTAAAACAAAATGTCTCGAGTTATGCAACAATTTTGGTAATACTAGTAATATTAGAAATTGCCATTATCATTCATAGACCTACATCTATGCAACAGTGCTTCACACTAAATTTGAAAAAAGGTCCATCAAAAACTGTAGCATTGCCAACTGTTGACGGAGATACGGGCCGATGCACAGGGTGACGACTATATACTATTCCGAATCTATGGATGTTATACTTATCATATTATGTAACAGGAAAATGATTGAACAGGGTCTCGTCCTGGTACAGCCTAATGAAATCAACAGAATAGTATGTTAAATTGACGAGCGGATTTGTGGGCTATAGTCGCACGTTTAACCTTTAAATTTGACCCGTTCACTAGCCTTTTTACGATTATTTTGAGGTCGGTCGGAAACGAGATTTAGCTAATGAAATGTCAACATGTTCTAGGTCTTTTGTTTTTGTACACAAATTTAGATACAGTAATATCTAGGTCGGAGTATTATGGGTGAGGTTTTGATACGCGCTGAAATAGTTCAGCTTGCCATATGGAGGAAGACCACCTCTAATTTGCCCATTGATTTTAATGTTAATTCCCAGCCCGGCTCCAAATTTCCCCCACATCTCCGTTGGGCTGAACGCTTTTCACTTTGCTCCAAAGTTTATAGGAGGTTGGACAGTAAAATTTTGAGATATACAAACTTGAAGTAGCAGATAACCCTATTTAAACGTGTAACTATCATCCTCCGTACTTATCACCATAACCAACCTCTTAAGATTTGGATCCGTTTAACGTCCACTCGACACAAACCAGGTCATTTCGGGACGAACAAATGGTTCAATTTTATTTCAATAACCCGTTCGCGCGTAAAGGTCTGTATAGCAGTGGGAGGTAAATGGAGGACCTTACTCCTTGTCACGTACAACCGGGGAATGGAAAGCACGCCAGTTGACTCAATGACAGATCTTATGGCACAACGCGCACGCGTTAACCCTTCGCTCCCACCCCCCTTATTTTTAATGAAATTATTGCCTCTATTACTAAATACGCTGAAAAGAAAATTATTGTAGAGGCTTACCAGCAAAAAGACTAGGCGGAATGTCTTGGCAAGTATTGTATGGTATAATAGGTACATTATTTATATCAATGGTATGGAACGGCCGCTTTACTGTACTGCTATTGTCATCAGTCCTGAATTCCGCGTTCTGTAATAAAAAGGATGAAATTGTCGTACAATGGTCACAAACAAAACAGGGTTCGTGCTTTAAAAATCATCTACCCAATGACTTTGTTAGCATAATCGCCAAAGCCGTATGTTTACAGAACGCCAGGAGTGCAGGCAAACGCGGTGCTGTTTATAAACGATAACTGGCAGTTACCCTCATAATGTTACAGTCGGTGTCTGTCTTGCATGGTGGAAACTATATCAATAATAGATAATACATAATAACGGTCGGAAACGAGAAAACAAACCCAAGCCTATTATCTAGGCTTTGACCTAATTAATTAGGAACCGGTATTTGATGTAGTAATTTCTAAATATCATTTACAATATCATTGAATTTTGTAAAAGAGGGTCGAATTTAAATAAATATTAAAATATATTCCAAGTCCCCCCCCCCCCATTACAAAATTCGAGAGCACAATTTTCCCACGTGATTCCCCCTTGTCAGTGGTGTAGGATGGAGAGCCTGGCAAGGATAACATAATATAGTCTTTCGGATAGGACGAAAAACCGAGGCCCCGTTTACACATTGGTATGCAAGTAAAAGAACCCTTGACAGTTGGAATAAGAATAGGTCGTAGCGTCCGTTGTCCGGACAAAATTCCCCTTATGCCATGGCGTATGGCCGTTTAAATTAACCCAGTTGGAGCAGAACAGTAGGACGTTAAACCCCATTTCATTTCATTTTATTATTATTTTTTTTACAAAATTCAATAACAAATGGATTCGTTCATGTAGAGACTAACACTATAGCCTACATGTGAAAATAGGTTGTATCCACCCACTGGACTGGAATATCTCCCAATAACGCACATAGCACTAACGAAACGTTAGGGACCGTCTGTCGGGCGAGAAAACTGACCACAGACTAATACCTACCAGTGCTAAAACTATACATACCAAATACACAGACGCCGGTATAAAGGTTTCATTGGTTAGACTCCATTCCTCACAGTAGTGAATCTGATCATCATCTGACTGAACCAGCAACAAAGCTTTATTCTGAATATTAAAGATAGAAAGTTATAGACTGGACTGCCTTCAACATAATTTGACTGTGAAGGGCGATAATGTAAGGGAATCCGTAAATATAATCAAATGAACAAATAAAAAAGCAACCAAAAACACACACACATATATACATGCAACTAAATACATGTATTATGAATGATTGCTAATGTTCCTTTTTATACGCCCACATTGAAATGTGGTCGTATATTGTTGTCGCCCCCGTCCGTCCGTCCGTCGGTCCGGCGTCCACAATTGCTTGTGGACGCTCTATAGGCTAAAGTTAATATCCGATTGACTTTAAATTTATACAGTGTTTAAGGTCATGAGACGAAGAAACCTATTGATTTTCAGCGATTTTCGAAATTACTGTCGGAGTTATGGCCCTTGATCACTTCAAATAATTTTGTGGACGCTATAGAGGTCAAAGTTAATATCCGATTGACTCTAAATTTATACACAGTGCTTAAGGTCATAAGACAAAGAAGCCTATTGATTTTCAATGATTTTCGATAATTACTGCCAGAGTTATGGCCCTTGATCACACTAAAAAAATCTTTTTGGACACCCTAGAGGTCAAAGTTAATATCTGATTGACTTTAAATTTATACACAGTGTATAAGGTCATAAGTCAAAGAATCCTATTGATTTTCAGCGATTTCCGATAATTACTGCCAAAGTTATGACCCTTGATCACTTTGAAAAATCTTGTGGACGCTCTAGAGGCTGAAGTTAATATCCGATTAACTTTAAATTTATATACAGTGTTGAAGACCATGAGACGAAGAAGCCTATTAATTTTCATCGATTTCCGATAATTTTTGCCAGAGTTATGGCCCTTGATCACTTTGAAAAATCTTGTGGACGCTCTAGAGGCTAAAGTTAATATCCGATTGACTTTAAATTTATACACAGTGTTTAAGATCTTGAGACGAACAAGTATATTAATTTTCAAGAATTTTTATGACTTGAACAGCTAAATCCATGATGTTAAAAGTTTTGTATACTAAACGTTAGCATGGGGCAGAACTTTATAAAAACCAAACAAATTCTAGTGGTTTTCTGATAATTACTTAATGAGTTGTTACTCTTAATCAGATTTTAATGTATTATAAATGTTTCATTACCGAAACATGCCCGGACGATATAGCTGCTGTGGGCGTATGTTTCGTTGTCTGGTAACCTATCTTTCTAGAATACCTACTCCCTATACGCAATAAGAAAGTTATTGAATCGAATAAACTCTGTAACCCTTTGTTTATAAATAATGACTCATACATCACAGTCAATGTCTTGTTTTACTAATTTGTTCAAATAATTTGTATTTTAGTTTTTTTTTTTGTGTTTTTTTTAAATCTATTTTGATTGTAGATAATGAATAAAATATAAACAAATGACAGTGACTGGTGTTCTCCTCTTAAATCTACTAAATAAACATTAACTTGAAGTAAAAAAAAAGGTCCCCAACACATGATTATGTTCCAGTGGATTTCCTTTAGCAAATAGGAAATAGAATTTAGCAGAAGCAATGAATTTTTGAGTTTTAGTAAATATTTTTTCATGATATGCATCAGGGTTATCTTGACAGCATTATAGATCCTTTGGTAAGGTAGTGC